TATAAATGTGTCTTGCTTGAAGACCATTTTGCTTCTTTGTTTAGATTTTAGAGGAGGGACCATGTCAAATAGATTTCATTGCTGCTGTCAGTTGGCAGTGACAGAATGTCCTCAGCAGAGTAGTAAAAGTCATGTCTAGGGCTCAGTCCACAGCAGAGTGGGGATTTCTAGCTTTAGCCAAGTTCTTACCAAAAGGTATCTTGGGAAAACCAAAACCCAAAGCTATTTTTTAAATTGATTGAATCTTTTTAGTTTTTTCTAAAGAGTTCATGACAGACTTTATTTTCTGTTCATGGAGGAGAAATTGCAAACCCAGGTATTATGTACATGTCTGTAACCCCACCACCTGGAGGGCAGACAGGAGTCTAGTAAGTTCAGTGCCAGCCCGGGCTTCATTGTGAGAAATGTCTCAAAGACAGGACACGGGGAGGGGAGGAGACGAAGAGAGAAGGAGGTGGGGGATTGTGAGAGAATATGAGAATGTTTTATTTGTGGTTTTCTTTTCTGAAAAGGCAGTCATCGTTACCGAAGCCCTCTGAGTCACAAACATCTGTAAGTCCAGAACACATAAAGTGCCTTGGAGTCCTATGACAGTCACGTAGCTCTGTGCCATGGTCCCCACAGCCCTCTCAGCACTCCCTGCTCTGATCCCTGGCCCAGACAGAGGGCATGAGTAATGATGTGCCAACTCAGATCCAGACTCGGAAATGCAGTTTAACTGTTTCAAGTTCTGAAAGTTATAGATATGGATGTTTTAGAGGTTTGACTGCTGATAAATTTTTGCCCCTATTTTGGATTTGAGATTTAGAAAACTAGAGCTCTCTGAAATTTGAATTACTATAAAAGCAATCCATCACTAAGAAGTAAGCATTGCTAAGAAGCATACTAAAATTATAAAAAATATAGACTTTGAGGCTGAACACATGAGAATCACCTTTGGGGAAATGTATTGTTGACTGGAAAGACACCTTCCACATGCTTGGAGGAAGCATGGCTTTCCTGGGTTAATTGTGTCTTGCCCTCATACAGTGCCCTCTGGCACCCAGATGTCTTCTCTTTCCGTGACTTTGTTTCTTTGAGACTGTCCCTCTGCCGCAGGCCGGAGAAGAGTGCTTTGCCAGGCTCAGTACTTTGGCACCACGTGTTAAGGACGCCTGGCTTTCCTTCATGGGTCAGACCAGAGGTTCTGATGATCCAGTCCCACAGAGCTCTGTTCTCTGTGCCTGACTCCATGACTGGCACATCTGCCTTTCTCCATGGTAAATAAGCCTCACAAATTCTTAAAGTATGTCATTTATTCTTCTATCATGGAAATTAGATGAACCATCAATGAATTTTGTCTTTAATGAGTATTAGAGGGCTTTTTTTTACACATATACTCTCTTCCTTGGTATCTCTCTCAAGCCTCCTTGAGAAAGTTCTCAAGACAAAGATGTTTGCTGCCATCTCAGATAAAGTTGCAGACAGCCTTGATTCCAGTTTGAGGGCCATTTGGAAGTCCATTCCTCAGTCATCCAAATGTCTGTCAGCGCTGCCAGTACTGCACTGTGTACTCTGTAGTTAACATTCCACGGAGGGTTGAGTTTCACAGACCCGCGATGATTTTGCTGAAGAGACCACTTGGACTTGTGTGTGGAGCAGATGAGCGCATCCTCGGCAGGGGTTGGGACACCACTTCTCCAATGCGAGCAATTGAGCAGCTCTGCCGCTGTGTCCCCCATACCTCAGTCTCAGCAGCAGAGGCTGTGCCCTCTGAGAGGGGACAAGTGGTGAGCCACTTTGCACAGTAGAGCACTCACTTGCTCACCCCTGTGCTCCAGTTCATTCTCCTGCTGCTCATTTGAGTGTCCTGTGGTTTTAGTTTTTCATTTGGGAACATCCATTTTGCCCTCTCGCCATAGTTTGTGTAGAATAATGTGTTCACATCTCATCTGAATTCAATTTCATGAGTTATATGACACCGAGAAAATGTGACTTGATGCTGAGTCCAGCCATGTTTCGCCCTCTGCAACAGATGAAAAGTGTTAGGCTTCTGATCCTCTGCCAGTTTCTGTTCCATGTAACAGACAGAAGCTGCGCCCTTGCCCTGGTGCCATTGACATGAAGTTTCAGAGGTCCCTGATCTGAGACCTGGAGACATCTAGGGAATGAATCTGTGCAAACATTTTTTTGGCTTCTTGAACAATCAAAAATTTAATGCAAGTTTATGTACATAAATTTTTGTGAATTTTGTTTTCTGGCCAGTCTTCAGGGTCTCTTAGAATAAATACAGTTATGGATGACTGAACAGAAGTTTCAAAATCCTGGAACTGAGGTTTGCACTGGGACCTATGACAGGTTCTGTTTCGGTTTGATGTTATTTAAGGAAATTGCCTAGAAAAGGAAGTCTCTGTTTTAAAGCAAACCTTTTTGGCCTTGGTCCCCTGATGTCATCATGCTCTAAATTTTGTGCGGAAAGACCAAAGGAAGATCGTAGACTGCCATCTAGAGGCTTGAGCAACAACTTTACACCTTCTGAAGCATGTCTTTGCCTTCCTGCACTGAGCTCTTTAGCTTAAAGCAACTTTGTGAATTAAGAACACCTTTTTTTCTCTTAAATGATTGCAGACCATAAACCTTATGTCATGGATGCTAGCTACATTGTGGGGCCATAACCTTGCTACTCTGGACATAATTTTAGAATGTAGAGACCATAGTATTTCTGATCTGAAATACATTTTAATATACCTTTGCTCATAGAGCAAAAACAAATTGATATTTTTATTTAACATCTTTATTAGATTTTTTAAGTATACATTAAAAATTAAGAGTGATTCTTTTAAATTACTTTTAGTATATCTTTTATAACAATAATGTTAACAAAATTGTTAACAAAAATGTTAGAAATTGCAGAGTTGAATTTGTTCTGGAAAAATCGATGAAATAGAATTTATATCCACCTGAAGATGCATTAAGTCAAGAACATAGCCTTGTGGTAGTTGAATGCATTAACTTTTCAAAATCTCATTTCATTATAGTACCTAACTTAGGGTTGTTGTGAAGACTAAATGAAATATACAGGCATTTTCACGATAAAGTCTTCTCTGACTAAGGTGAATATTCAATAAATGTTTATTCATATATTCAGTAGATATTAAGCTCCTGTTAGGCATAATAATCATTTTTGGTACTGGAGATTTGCATAGGCAGCAGAAAAGACACCTGCCTTGCATTGTGACAGAGACAGTAAACAAGTACAAATATGAACAAGATGAACTCTTAAATCTGAGCCTGAGTCAGAGGTCAGGGAAGAGTGCAGCTCTTACCTGTATGACAAGGGAGCCGCTGTGAGAAGGCCTGAAGAGTGTCTTTTCACCTAAGAGGGGGCAAGCGTGGAGACTGCCCAGTGAGTGAGAGACCTGCATACTTGGGAAATGAGATGCGAGCCTTGGAGGCCCAGGACTGTGTGTATCCATTCTGAGGATCATGGGAAGAAATTGTAGAGTTATAAGGTGGTGCCAGTCTAGCCTTGGCTTTAAAATCATCCCAGTGGAGAGTAGACTGTAACTGAAGGAAGAACAGAAGCAGAGTGACCACTTAGGAAACTTTTCTGACTGTCTAAGAAAGCAGTAATGTCTTGGGTGAAGGACTAGTTAGTGGTGGTTCAGGTAGATGGACCCCCATTGGCTCTGTGGGATAGAGGCAACATAGCAGTGTGGTTAAACGCACCGGGCAAAGGGCTGGGGAGATGATCCGTTGGGTAAAGTGCTTGCTCTGCAAGCATTAGACCTTAGTTTAAATCCCTAGCAACCATATAAAAGTGAGCGTGGTGGTACGTCTGTAACCCAACATGGGGGGTAGAGATGTGAAGATCTCAGGAGTCCACTGGCTGAGAATTGGTGTTCTTCGGATTTATGAGAGACTCTGTCTCAAAAGAATGAGGTGGGAACAATTGAGGAAGACATCCTAGCACTACCCTCTGACCTGCATGCTTGCTCACATAGGCAAACATACCTGCACACACGTGCACACATGCAGGTGGACAGCCAGACTATTGGTGTGAATCTAACTAAAAAACCACGTGACTGTGGACTCCGCTTAATCTGGGCCATTTCTCAAGTGGAAAGGAAGATAGCACACTGCTCTGAGGATTATGGCGAGGCCGAGATGATAACTGTAAAGTGTTATGAAGAATACACGGACACCCTGGCCTTGTCAGTGCCCACCACCTTCCCCATACTGCTGCTCCCATGCTGTCATCAGAGCTTCCAGTTCACCCATGAGAAACTTCTTAAAGTGGGTGGCTTTGAAATCACAATAGGTTTCTGATTTTTGACCCTTTGTTCCCTCTCCAGTATAACCTGGAGTATGAGTTCCCAGAGAGAAACACCCACTGGCCAAATCTCTGTAAGCTTCACTTTATGTTCTTGTAGTGTTTAATTCACATCAAGAAAGTACTGTACAAGGCTAACAACATGACACAGCTTGCAACAGAGGTGTCCGATTCTTGTCCCCCTTTCCATGATCCTCTTTCCATGCCCCCCCTCTCCATGTCCCTTGTGCCATGGGAAACACCAGATCCCCTGACTTTTGAAGAGTCACATTGCACACTTAACCCAAAGTTATTAATGTGCACATGATAATATGTATAGGAGGCTAGAGCTGACCAATTTGAGAACTTCTAAGACATTGAATCTCTATAGAGGACATTCTAATTCTTCAGTGTATTAAAGGGAGGCATACATTGTACATAGAGTGCACGCATTAGTCCCTATTTTTCCCATCAGAATTGGAGGTGTTGACCAGACTGCACCATTTGAATTTCTTTTCCCTCTCCATCTCTCTCTGCTTTGCCCATTTCCTCCTGGAGTAAGCGATGAAGTAGGTAAGGATCGGGATGGAAGAGAAGCATAACTAGAAGCTGAGAACCTGAAATTCTACCTGCTGCTCTTGCTTCTAGTTCCTCAGCCCCTCCAGCGCCCCCTTCATCAGACTGAAGGCAGGCTGTTTGTCTGTTGCAGAATGCGAGCACTTGATCCGCCACATGCTGGTGTTAGATCCGAACAAACGCCTGTCAATGGAGCAGATCTGCAGGCACAAGTGGATGAAGCTGGGGGATGTGGATCCCAACTTTGACAGGGTGAGCTGAGCCCCTTGCTTCAGGGAACTTAATCTGCCCAAGACCTGAAGAGATGAGCACTAGAAACCAACCACTGAGTAAAAGCTGAAGTGGTTTATGAATTCAGCAGGGAGCTGCAAGAGCCATCTGGGCTGCGGAGACTAGCAACACTGGTTCCTTACCATTTGTTCCTAAATCATGGTTCACTTTTGACTTCCAAGACAGTACAACCCCAGTTCCTGCTACCAGAATGCCTCTCTGGTCTAAGCACGCTCATTTCAACATCTTCTGTAGCATACTTTTGCTCCCCATTATCATTCCAGGTACCCAAGGAGCTCAGGAAACAGGAGGTTCTTGTCATCTCATAGCTGATGCCAGAGCTGTCTTGCTCAGATTTGTGTATGAGACCCAGAGAATCCTCAGCAAGGGGGCACAAAACAGCTTGGTCAATATGTATCTCATGCCATGCTGATGTAGTTAACTGGGGACTTGACAGCTTGTATCTTTCCCTGTTACAGTTAATAGCTGAATGCCAGCAACTGAAGGAAGAAAGACAGACGGATCCCCTCAATGATGATGTCCTCTTGGCCATGGAAGACATGGGACTGGACAAGGAGCGGACACTTCAGGTACCTAGGAAGGAATGGAGAGAAAATAAGACAAGCAACCTTTCTTCTTGCCTTCCTTTGTTGCATTGTCTCTTTCCTGAGCACTTGGGTCTTCCTGCTTTCGTCCTTTCTCCTCTTCCTTTGTCCTTCCTGGGTCTGGGAAGGAAGGAAGAAGCTACTCTGAATTCTGATGATGTCACATCTCATTGGGGTTTTCACTCTCTCCTTCCTTCCCTTTGGTAGTCATTAAGATCGGATGCCTATGATCACTATAGTGCAATCTACAGCCTGCTGTGTGATCGACACAAGAGACATAAAACTCTGCGCCTTGGAGCTCTTCCTAGCATGCCCAGAGCCATGACATTTCAAGCACCAGTCAATATCCAGGTAGGCAATGTCTCCAGTGACCTAGGTGAGGACAAGTTAGTTATGCCAAGGTATGGGTAGCAATCAAGGCTGCTTTGAATATAACCCCAGCCCTTGGGAATTTGAGGCATAAGAATGATGAGTTCAAGTCTAGCCTGGGCTACACAGTAAAGCTGTTATCTTAGAAAGAGGGGCAAGGGGAGAGACTATTTCTTCTAGTGTCTCAAGTATTTATTTATCCATCTGTACTGCTTTTTAGGCGGAGCAGACAGGCACTGCCATGAACATTAGTGTCCCTCAAGTTCAACTGATCAACCCAGAGAACCAAATTATAGAGGCAAGTAGCCACGTCTGGTCACTGTCAGTTGAAGCCACTTTTCTTCCCATAGCCACAATTCCTTTCCTTCCTTATTTCTAGTTACTTCTTTCTGATTAGTTGTGTTTTCCTCCACCTCAGCCTGATGGGACAGTGAACTTGGACAGCGATGAGGGCGAAGAGCCTTCTCCTGAAGCCTTGGTTCGTTATTTGTCAATGAGGAGGCACACGGTGGGAGTAGCTGACCCACGGTAAGTTGACCCTGGTCAACATCCTGTTCAGTACTACGACAAAAAGGTCCCATCTGGCTTTGAATGCCCCCCCATCATACATTTTCTCCTACTTCATAGTCTAAGTAAGTGGTCAAGACACACTTTTAACAAATCAGTGACCATAGTAGATCACAGCTAATTTGATAGTAGAAGTCTCTCTGAGCAGCCATCGTGCAATAGTTAATATTTGTCAATGCTGGTGGACTTCTTCTGATCTAAGTTACCCAGAAGTATTCCTTAAAACTCAGGCAAATTTAGCTAAGTGTGGTGCATTCCTTTAGTCCCAGCACTCAGGAGGCAGAGGTAGGAGAATCTCTGAGTTCAAGGCCAACCTGAGCTATATATCAAGTTCCAAGACAGCCAGGACACATAAAGAGACTTGTCTCAATAAATAAATAAATAATAAATAAATAAATCGGCCACCTTTCCCGGCTTTTAGAGATGTTGTCTGCCTCATGTTCTATCCTGATATGGCATAATTTATAAATGTGGACAGTTCAAAATTAACTGGTCAGCTGGGCATTGGTGACACATGCCTTTAATCCCAGCACTCAGGAGGCAGAGGCAGGTGAATCTCTGCAATTTCAAGGCTAGCCTGGTATACAGAGTGAGTTTCAGGACAGGCTCCAAAGCAATACAGAGAAACCCTGTCTCAAAACCAAACAAAAAAATTAACTGATCAGTGGTGGGGATATAGCTCAGCAGTAGAGGCAAGGTCCAGGGTTCAATCTCTTTCTCTGTTCCCAAAATGGGCAAGAATCCCAAAACACATTCCCCAAAGGCTTCCTGTCACGATGTTCCCTTGAGGCCCTCATGTTGGGGAGATGGACTCAGGGCCAACTCGTCCCACTTCTACTCTGCAATTGAGGCCTGTGAGCATGAACAGTTGTCCATCTCATTGCCAAATGTTTCCTTCACTGAGCAGGGGAGAGAAGGTTGTGGCAAGCTTTCTCCTGAGAGTTCAGCTCAGGGCAGAGCTGGCTTTCTTACAAATGTCTCTCCTGAGTGGATCTCCAGAGGCAACGCCCATCCTGGTGGTTTGCTTCTTTTATGTTCTCAGCTTGCAATCAAACAAGCAATAGAAAGAACATTTTGGTTCCACAGAATGTGTCACCACAGAGGGGTGGAGTCCTGAGTCGTGATTAGTGGAAAGATCTCTTATTTAAAGTCTGCTGGGCATGACAGCCCCCGAACATCCAGTACTTATCTGTCCTGTCAGCATTGACAGTGGTAATTGCATTCTTTCCCTGGTGAATCAGTTGCTACTTCAGGCAGCCATTGTCTTAGCGGAAGGCCTGTGCTCTCTAGAAACTTGCTGTTTGCCTCTAGGCTTTAAAAGCCTGGGCTGGAGTTGTGCCAGTGTCTCCTCTGTTGGTTTTTGAAAGGATCAATGAAGAGTAGCAATCCCCAGGAAAATGACAGAGTGAAATTCCACACAGCAGACTTCTGCTTTGCTTTAGGATCTTAAAAATAGAAATTTAGGAGAAAAGTAAAGTGGGCGGGGAAGGGGTGCTGTCCCCAGTAGGTAGTGGGGAAGGTGCTTGCCCTGGAAGCATAAAGACCTAAGTTCAGATCTCCAGCACCCATGGGAAAGCCAGCTGTTCAGCCTCAGTTGTAACTTCGGCTCTGTAGGGTAGAGACAAGCAGATTCACAGATCTCATAGCCAGCCTGACTAGTATAGTAAGTCAGTGAGCTCCAGGTTCAGTGAGAGAGACCCTGTCTTTAAAATAAACAAAAGTCGTATATGGCAAACATGTATATATGCGTACACATATACACACATGCAAAAAAGATAGAAAAAGCTGAGTGGTGGTTGTGTACACCTTTGATTCCAACGCTCTGGAGACAGAAGCAGGTGAATCTTTTTGAGTTCGAGGCCAGCCTGGTCTACAGAGTGTAGCCAGGGCTACACAGAGAAACCCTGTTTGGGGGAAAAAAAAATAGTAACATTAAAAAATAAAAAAAGTTGAAAAGTTAAGTAGACAGACAGAAAAAGACAAAATAACCATGCTGGGTATAGTGATAGCATCACTTCAGAGACTTGAATACTTGAATAACCACACTTCTCTTTTCCTGTTTCCTGTCAGCACGGAGGTTATGGAGGATCTGCAGAAGCTCCTGCCTGGCTTTCCTGGAGTGAACCCACAGGCTCCTTTCCTTCAGGTGGCCCCTAACATGAACTTCATGCACAACCTGTTGCCCATGCAGAGTCTGCAGCCCACTGGGCAGCTTGAGTACAAGGTACCTGGCTGTGGAAAGAGCCTGCCCACAAGAAACAAACTTGAACTTCCCTTGGGAGGCTTTACAAGAACTGTCCCTAATATCGGAGGCTTTCCTTAGTGAGGGGGGAGTTCCCTTTTGTAAACAGCTCTGGCCATGGGAGATTGCTTCAGTTTCATTCCCCATCAGAGGATCCTCTAACGCTAGCAGATGAGGGTGGTGCTATTTGCTCCCATAGTTTACTATCTCACCACTCTATCCTGCCTACTCTCCTGGCAGGAGCAGTCTCTATTACAGCCGCCTACACTACAGCTGCTGAATGGAATGGGGCCTCTTGGCCGGAGAGCATCAGACGGAGGGGCCAACATCCAACTGCATGCCCAGCAGCTGCTGAAGCGCCCACGGGGACCCTCCCCACTTGTCACCATGACACCAGTGAGTAGCAACTCATAGCCTGACCTTTTCATAAGAAGGCTGTGGGCCTAGGGCTGGTCATGGCTGAATGAAATACCTGAATTGCCAGTACTCTGCTTGTTCCACTGACTTACCTCCTCTTACCCAGTGGGCCACATTAAGACGTCTCAGAGGACTTTCCCTAGCAGAAGGCAGTTCAAGTGGCAGCGCTCTCTAGAATGAATTACTTTTAAATTCTGTCTTATGAAGATTAGTTGGCAGGGTGTATACACACATTACAGTGCACGCCTGGAGGTCAGAGGACAGCTTTTGGGAGTCAGTTCTTTCCTTCTACCTTCACATGGGGTCCAGGGATCAAACTTCGGGCTTCAGGCTTGCACTGCAAGTGCTCACCCGCCCATGGAATTAATCACTTTTTAGATGAGTTTTCAAAATTACCATCTCTCCCTTGAGCACCACCGCCTAATATTTTTGGCACAACCTCACTCAGTGCTTGCGTGATTAGTGTCTCGTTCACATATTTTTGTAGGACGGTGACATACAAAGGTTCTACTCAGCACATGGGTCTCTGTTTATTTCTGGTGATTTTTCTGTCATAGCTCTGTCAGATTGAATGTTATTATCTCCCTAGCCCTCATGAGCTGTTTAGGGCAGTACTGCTTAAAATCAGTCGCCAGTGACTTTTGTTCTCATTTGATCCATCGTGGGTCAATACTTTATAAAAACACTCTACTAACTTGTCATGAGCGCACACCAAAGCTCACTCTGAATCTCTGTGCTTTCCTTATCATGGTTTTGATCACAGAGTGATGTGGGAGCCTGTGGGCCACACTGTCAATAGCACTGCAGTTCAGAAAACAGTGTGCAAAGCAATGGAATCCCAGTACTTGGGAGGCAGGCATGTGAGGGTCACTGCGAGTTTGAAGCCAACCTGGTGTATATAGTGAGTACCAGGCTAAGCAGGGCTAAGATGCAGCCTTTTAAAAAAGGGGAGGGGGCTACAGTATTAAATGCCAAAGTGAATGACATGGCTCTTAAGCAGCAGAGGCTTTTGATGGACAAGGGCAGTATTGGTTAGGAGGGATCAGGATCAGTAGTGTGGTAAGTGGGGTGACTTAACTCTGTCCACTGGAGTTGTTGCTGCCAAGGTCGATTATGGGCTCTTGTTGATAAATCCAGTGGGCATTTTTAATCTTTATCTTTTTGGATGTCCCAACTCCATTAGTCATTGGTGACTTTTCTTACCTCTTCTTTGTAGTACTTTTTTTTTGGGGGGGTGCTTCTGTAAGAAGGCCACCCTCCCTGGATTTACCTTCTGTTTTCTAGTCTCCTCTTTAGGTTTTAGGTTTCTTTTCTGCTCAGAGTTGACTGACCTGAGGCCCCTTTCTCATTCCTGTCTTCTCTTTGGATGAGCCTGTCCACTCCCATAATTCCACCTGCCATCCGGTTCTCCTCCCAGAGTGTTCTTCTGAGTTCTATATATGTGCATGTGGGGTTGCTTCCGCCATAGGTTTAATGGCTGCTGCACAAGTACTCACAATCTGAATGCAGCGGTTCCAACGCTTATCTTACCTCGGTGACACTTGACTTCCCTACAGTGATACAGCAGCACTGTTACTGTCCTGGTGACTACACAAGCTAGGGACACGGATTTTTGTTTTAATCTTTGTACAATTATCATTGCTGCTATCGGTTGTCTAATGTCTATGGATTAAATGTCTCTCCATCTCTGCCCCCTCCCCCTGCCCCCCTTGCCTTAAGTCATGGTCAGTCACCAGTCACCTGGATTAACACAGTGGACTCCCAGAGGGTACCTGGCTGGCTTCCTGGTTTCCACTGACGGCCTCTTCCACCCTGCAACTGCAGAGACCTCACTTTTCCAAACACAGATCCTGTAACACTGTGCCCCTGCTTAAAACCCTGTAGTGATTCACCGCTGCCCGTCCCAAAATAAATCTGTGTGATATTCAAGGCCGTGTATAAGTACCCTTCCTCTGCCTCAGCTATAGCCACTTCCTGTCCAGTCCCTCGCTCTGCCCTTAGAACTAAAGTAAAGGGTGGGAAAATTCAAATGTTGGGATTTTACTTCAAAAAAGTTTTCATTTTGTTTTGTAATTAACCCAGTTCTTAAGAAAATATTTATTTTTAATTACTGGGGGTGGGGAGCAGGGGTGAGGTCAGAGGTATAGGAGCCTTTGAAGTTTGAGTTACAAGTTGTTGTGAGCCACCCAGTATGTGCTAGGAGCCAAACTCAGGCTATGTGCAAGAGCAGTATATGCTCTTAACCACTGAGCCATCTCTGCAGCCCCATAATGCCACGTTTGGTCACTAAAGTCACTGCTGATGTAGTGCCCAGGGTATGGATGATGCTTATATGGGCCTCTGGGCCAAGAATAGTTTTTGAGGACATACAGCCTTCCTGTCTTCATGCAGAGGATCCGGCAGCTCCAGTGATGTGTCTGTATGGTGCTTCTCATTTCATGTATGATTTAGAGGGTAGTGAGTATTTTAAATCATTGATTATATGTTCTGTGGTAGTGTACTTTCAAACACCATGATGCTTTCTTGGACATCCAAACTCTTATGAAGCCATGGTCAGTTCCTCAGCACTTTAGGTAGGTAGTTTTTTATGTATTCCAGATCCTTGAGCACTTACTTCTCTCAACCTCTGACCCTTTTGCTCTTTGCCTGGCTAATAGCTCCTTTACACTCCTCGGGTCTCATCAGATCAGGCCTTATTTCCTCCATAGCATCTTCTTTAATTTCCAAGCACCCCACAGAAGACTTGAGAGATCTCAATCATGCTCTTAGAGTTGTCTGTTCAGTTGTCTCTCTAAAACAAAGACTGTAGCTCCAAAAACACAGTTCATCTCCTAGTAGGCATCCAAGTATTAGATGCACAAACAAACAGAGATGATAAAGGAAGAAATCCAAATTTATAGCACCTGAGCAAGATGGGACTGGAAAATAAGATGTATGAAAGTTCTCTCTAACCTATAGGTTCTAGAAAAGTCTTTGAAATAAGAACATTAACAAGACCCTTGGCCTCAGTCCAGTTTTCAGAGTTCAGGGCATCACAGAGTAAGCTGCCACCCTGAGCCTTTTCTTCCTGTCTCTGCAGGCAGTGCCAGCAGTTACCCCTGTGGATGAGGAGAGCTCGGATGGGGAGCCAGATCAGGAAGCTGTGCAGAGGTAATGTGGCATCTGGCAGTGCTTGCAGAACGTCCTTGGGCAGGCTCCCCTGCAACCAGCGAAAGGTCACCTCTGCCCAGGGAGGTGGTGCAGTGCAGCCTCAACAGTTGTGTGGTTTCTTTGCTCAAGCCAGATGGCATGTTCCTCCCCACACGGAAGTGACAGAAGACTGCCCAGAAAATCTCATTTCTATAAGCGCCACTGGAAGCCCCTTAAGTGACAGCAATAACCTTAAGAACATTTTCTCTCCTCCCTCCTCCCTTCCTTGTCCCTCGCCTTCATATCGCAACTCTGATAGTGTTCAGAAGGCATAAAGCCTGCTCCTACCTGCCACGAACTGATTACTGAAAAGGAATTGGAGATTTGAGATGACAGTGATCCTAGCTAGTCTGGCCATGGACCTCTGGCATGGACTCCTCCTTCCCAGGAGAATGAATGAATACCTCCTGTACTGTTTGCTGTTTCTTCTACTCCCTTGTTGTACCAACAAAGAGATATTGGAAAAGGAAAAGCAAAAAACAAAAAAACAAAAAAACACGGGGTGGGGGTGGGGTGGGATGCGGGCCAGAGACAGATGTAAATATCCATTGTTTGTAGAACCTTGTTGAGAGATGCCTAATTCACAGAGAACAACAGTGACCATCAGGCATGCCATGCTGTCCATTGACCTCAGTTCCAGTAGTTGTGGTCTTCAGCTCCATGCATGTCCCCTTGTGGAGTTGTCGTTCTTATTTTCTGGGGAGGGGTTTTCACCAGAATCCAGCATGTATTTTCCCAGAAATATGGGTGTTCTTCAAGATTATGTTTTCCCTTGAGGGAAGTTGAAATAAAATGGTTTTCATGGGCTCTTGGGGAAACTTTGGGTGTTTTTATCAATGGACATTAACCACCGATGGCTTTCTCTAGCAAGTTTGCATACAATGAATTACAGTCTGATAATGGCTTTTAGCTTACATAGCCAACGTAGTCAGGAATAAACCAAGAGCCTCATGGTTGCTGTCTAGGACTCTCTTCCTACTCTCAGGAGGTCTATATCAGAGCCCCTGTTCAAAGAAGCTGTCTTATGCAGAAAAGAAAAGAAAACAAAGCAGCCTAGTGAATGGGGTTGCCAGCTCCCTCCACAGTTTAGCCAGTAGAAGAAAAGCTGTGGTGACCTTGCCTCACTCTGATGCTCTTATTTGTATGGTTTGCTGATACAAGGATGTATGAGCAAGGTTGCAAATGAGCCCTGTTGATGTTGAAGAAAGGAGAAAGTAGGAACTGTACTACATACTGCCTTCCTCCTTGAAAAGACACAGCCCTGTTTTATCTTCCTTGTCTTAGATCTAACTTCCTCTGTCCCCACCTTCTCTTCAGACCAACATTGAAAGGCTAGAACGTGTATCATTTTGATGGGACAGAAGGGAATCGTGCTTCTCTTATGTGTACCCAAGGCGAGCAGAAGTGCTGAGGAAGCTCAGCCAGACGCAGGGCCTGGATCTTGTACCATGCAGACCTGTGTAGGTGTGGAAGCTCTTTAGAGCAGAAGGCATCACTGAGGCTGACTCTTGGGCACCTGACTCTTCCTTACCTTGCTTCTTTGCCTCCTGAAAACAGCTCTGAATATCCCAAGTAGTTTTATTTCTTCATTCTCTTACATTAGTCCTCTGTGGACCACATCAGTTTTTCTTCTCTGGTGATTGAGTTTTGGTCACAGGACATGAGGGAAGAATTCAGTTGTCCTCAAATAAATCTACTTTCTTTGGCATGCAGTAAGGACAGCACAAAACCTGAGGCCTCTGACACCAAGAGACATTTCTGAATACCTCCCTTGAAGTAGGCCTTGGGCTCATTTCCTCTAACTTATAGTTTGGACATTTGGAGAAAAATTAATATGTAAAAAAATAACTTCTATTGAATTGGAATGAAGTAAGGAAATTGATCCTGTTGCCTTTGTGAGCTAGATCTGCTTTTCTTCTCTTAGATGGCTACTCTTAAGCTCAAAAGCCAGCCACCTCAGTGGTAAGCTGACTTCTGTTGGCCAGTTAGACATGCTTCACCTCCATCCTGTCTGGGGCCACTTGCCGTGGAGCCCTTCTGGTGCCCCACACTGTCCTACCAAGTGCCTCGGACTAACTTCTATTGCTTCTTGCTCAGGAACATTCTTGTCTTTTTTACTATGAAATGTCCTCCCTGCTTGTTGCAGGTACTTGGCAAATAGGTCCAAAAGACACACACTGGCCATGACCAGCCCGACAGCTGAGATCCCACCGGACCTGCAACGGCAGCTAGGACAGCAATCTTTCCGTTCCCGGGTCTGGCCTCCTCACCTGGTACCTGACCAGCATCGGTGAGTAGCCACTTGGCAGTGTGAGCTTCCTTGAGGCTCATTGGACCAGCACCCTCATGACTAGTCTCCAGGTCATGGTGACTGGCTTTAACTAGAAGCCACCTGCCATCCCTAACTCACATCTTCTCAGCTCCCAGCTCTTAAGCAATGCGCAGGGCAAAAGTTCTCTCTCAGATTCTGGAGCATTCCAAAAGTCCTTCCATCCTATTTCCTTGCAGACCTATTTATCATCTGCAGCTGATTCCTGTAGGCCTTCATGGGAGTGGTGATCTCAGAAGGCAACTCTAGAGATGAGGGTTTTGTAGCAACATCCACAGACCTGACTCTAATAATTCATCACCTTCGAAAGAATGGGCACTTCCTAGGGTGTTATCCCTGAGCATCAGGCTGGCTATAGGGAGGTGCATCCCTAATGAATGGTAGAATAGGAACGGGACATCATTCTTCAGAGACAGCAAGGTCTTCGCTGGGCTTCTGTTGTTTAGATCATTGCCTCAAAGAAAGGAAGACAAGCTTTCACCATCTTGACCAGGGAAACTTCACCAAATCTAAGGTAGTCTGGCTGTAAGAGAGCTGAGGTGATTGTCTTCCATGATTCCCTTGGTAACTGACAGCCTTAGCCACACCCATTCTGATGCTGTCCTCAAGCTCACAGGCCACGCTTCCTAAGTCATCAGCCATTCCTTGATCTGTTCCTTCCAGTCTTCTTGGGGGTCATGCAATGCAGTCTCCCTTTGGGAAGGCTTTAAGCAGTGGGTTCTGAAGAAACTGGGTATATATGTATGCCAATGGGAATGAATGCTTGTGACTCATCACACTGATCAGCTCCAGACAGTGTGCTCCTTGTGCTTCTCTCTCACTGGGCATCGGGTAATCAGCAGGGACAGGTGAACCTGAGCAGACAGGAACATCATTAGTGCCACACTGGCACTCTGGAAGAACGAAAATAAGCGTCTATAAATGACCATGAACAATTTAGAAAGAAAAAGTCCTGTTAGGAGCAGAAGGAATGAAGGTTCTCATGCACAACTGCGATGGCACAGTCCCTCTGATGGAGGCCTCTAGCGACCTGCGCATCACTCATGGAGAGCTCCTTGGTGCTTGTTGGCTAGTGAATTGACCCCTCCTCTGGGCAGCTCGTAACTTAGGACTCCACGTTTGCACTTGTCTTAAAAATGTCCTTTTTGCTGCTCACCTCCTCTTCTACTTAGTACTTGATTTGTCAGCCCTCCCCAGGCCTGTTTTGTAGGTTTTAGCCTTTGAGTATCAAACTTTAATCCTCCGTGCTCCCCCAGGAAAAAACTGTGATCAGCACTTTCCAGCCAGCCGTCCTCACAGATCCCCTATTCTGTTGACATTTGTTCTTAAAAGAAGATCAGGGCAGCCTGCAGGTCCATCTGTGTGATGAGCATTGTGACTGCAGTCACTGCCAGGGCCTGGCCTCCTACAACTCTGTGTCTGTTCCCATGCGCACACTCTCGGTAGCGTTACATGGATTTGAATGGCAGATTGTGTACTGTGGGGCACTTGTGTAAACCAAGCATGTCTGGGTGGAGTCGCCGCGCGCACACACACAGAAGAGACTGAAATTAGTTTGGGGGAAAGAGAAGCATTCCAAGGCCATAAAACACACCATATGATATGGGTGGCCTGTCTGTGTCACTGAAATACTTTCATTTTCTGGAAAATGATTAAAAGAACAGAATATATATCTATTCTTTGTGTTATACTAGGTGAAGTCCACCATGGAGACAGAAGAGGGGCTGGTCAACATTTTCACCCCTGGAAGTGTGTGATTTAAAAGTTCACACAAGACAGATTTCCAGTTGGGGGCTGCACCTCTGTTTGAAGGGTACAGTGGAAATAGCAACCCATGTGAGGCTGTCCTGAGTGAACGTGGTTGCTAATGGAAATAAAGTCAAGCGTGCTTGACACTGCCTGCCTGTGCCTCTGCCGAGGGCGGGTTCTTGGAACCGCTCCCCTGAAGTTACTGAGCCAGGATGAGCTGGGGCCAGTCTCTTCACAGCCTGAGTTTCCAGAAAGCCGTGCCACACCTGGAACCTGGGATGTTCTTGCTGTAATGGGAAAGGATGATTTTGTGTAGAAAGACTGCTTGAAGAACAGCTCTTGGCCACAGAAACCTGTCTGTTGCCTGAAGATACTGAAAGTGTAGGAGTCGAATGTTAGGAGGAATGATACCGATGCTTTCCTTTAATTCAAAGGGCCTGAAGTACAGACACAGCATGCTTCTGAAAGCCTCCTTCCTGAGTGCAGCTTCCGGATTGTGATGCCCACCCCCCACCCCTGACTAATTTCTCTATTATGTTACTAAAACAAATAGATTTCATGCTCATTTCACTAACTTACCACTGCTTAAAGCTTTGATGAAGTCTGAAGCAGAAGGCCATTAGTAGAGACTGAGGGCTTTCACCTGTCATCAGAACTCTCTTGGCTTCGCTGCCGTCATCGTTTCTCCTCAGCCCTCCCCTGTCTGCACTGTATTTGAACTTGCTTGTTCACCCGCTTTCTTGGCTTTGGCTCTGCTTCAATCCGAACTGGCGAGGTGACCAGTCACCTCACCCATAGCTCAGTGTAATGTCATCTCTGCCCTAGACCTGCCACCCTGACCCTTTCCATCAGCTGTGGGGACGCTGCCTCTGCAGTCTTTAACCTGCTTATCTCCGCTCATAAACATCTCTTTCTGGTTAGGCAACAAGCATAGGTGTTAGCCAGCCTAGTGCTGTCTTTGGGCTCCTCATCGATGGCGTTTCTTTCTCCCCGTAAGACATTGGCTGAGTTCTGGTTGAGCAGTGGGGACCCCTTTGTCAGAAGGAGGTTGGGCAGGTGCTGCTGTGTGAGGTCTCCTCACTGTAGCAGGTCTCCTGTGTGTCCACAAGGTACGTGCAGGATCTTGAGGCCCACATTCCTGAGGAATGTGCTGTCTCTATCCTGGGATCAGAAGTCCGTATCTTCCCCTACCCAAGCCTCCACCCTCCCCTTTCTAGAACAGAACTGTAAGTCCCAGGCCAGACCTTTGACCCCATGATTCATTCTAGCCATACATAGGTTACTGTTGAAGGAAACTCTGGATCAAATGGTGAATTCTGAGTTTCTGAAGATACCAGATAGGGATCTGGTTTTTAAAACCTGAGCTTTCACAAAATAAACCCCTTAAAATGTAACTGTAATAGAAAATAAATGAATGACTATAAAAACCCAGAGCTCTGATATGGCCAATCCTAGCTATACTGCTGAATTGCACTCTGCACTAGTATGTTTATAAGAACTGGATGTAGTTGACCCTAGGACCTCACCAGGCCTGGGAAGTAGAGTGACCTAAGGTAAGTAGAGGTAGGAAATACATGTCCATAGTCCTCTAAAGGGGAACAGCCACCTTGGGAAATGACATGGGAGTACCATGTGTGGGGCTCCTCATGCAGCCTGCTGTCTCTGTGTTGATCTGGAATGTGGTCCCTGTGTGATTGGTCAAAGCCCCCCAAGTCCTAGCTGCTAACTGTCTCTTCCCATATATTTAGCTCCACTTACAAGGACTCCAACACCCTGCATCTCCCTACGGAGCGTTTCTCTCCCGTGCGCCGGTTCTCAGATGGGGCTGCCAGCATCCAGGCCTTCAAAGCTCACCTGGAAAAAATGGGCACCAACAGCAGCATCAAACAGTTACAACAGGTAATCTATGGAGGAGCAGGGTAACAATGTGTGTCCAGAACCAGGGCAGTAACTCTCTATGCCCTTCATGCCAGTAGCACCAAAGGGTTCTGGCTTAAAACAATATAGCTTTCTAATGCACATTCCTCATAGACTGCCCTCCCCAGGGTCAAACTTGCTTCCCTCATAGTCATACTAAAATGTTTCTAGTCTCTGTAGTTCATTGGAAAGGCATTTCTGGTTTGGGTTTCACTGGGAAGCAACAGGGAAGGTACTTCTAAGCGATCTTGGCATTCCCCTTGTCACACAGGGCACTGGGTCTTGGTGTTAATATCAGGCGTGGCTCCCAGAGGTAGGAAACCTGCTTCCAGGCTGCTATGAAGGGCCAAGAGCTTCGAGTGGCCTGTGCTTTGTATTTGTGTTTGGTTCCACACTGGACACTCACTCATGCACACAGTGTGTCCTCGGTGGTTCCCATTCAGTCCCATAAAGCCGAGTGTGAGGATCCCTGTCCATGCCCATCAAGGACACTGTTCTTCTGTGGCTCGTTCTGCCCATGAGACCTTGGGACAGATCTGCCTCTGCTGAGATCACTGTTTGGGGTAGGCCTGGCTGGGTCCCATCTGAACCCACTGCTTCCCCTTCAGGAGTGCGAGCAGCTGCAGAAGATGTACGGGGGACAGATTGATGAGAGGACCCTGGAGAAGACCCAGCAGCAGCATATGCTGTACCAGCAGGAGCAGCACCATCAGATTCTCCAGCAGCAAATCCAAGTAGGCCCTCATTCACTCTTTGTTTTCTCCTTAGCCTGTGCATTGTGAAAAGGGCTCAGGGCAAAGTGGAGTGGGAGTTATGTTTATGGGTGACATGTTTGAGTAAAGGCTGCTAAAGCCTTTGATAAATCAGAGGAGTCAAAGTCAGAGTCATAGATGGTACCTTCTGTGTCTTCCCTTCCCAAGAAGAACTCTGATGAACTTTGCAGCTAATGATATTGTTTTCCTCCCCCACCCCATTTTCTATTTTAGGATTCTATTTGTCCTCCTCAGCCTTCCCCACCTCTTCAGGCTGCATGTGAAAATCAGCCCGCCCTCCTCACCCAGCTGCAGAGGTAAATGAGCCACACTTACTCTTCCTAAGTCACTGGCTGGACCGCATGGCACCCTAGGATGGAAAATGGACTGACTTGTGCATTCACTTCTGGGAAAACAGAACAGCGGATTTAGAGTTGAAGGGGCTTCCTAAAATCCTGGCTATTTCCTTAGCTGCATGAACAGAGTAAGCTAACATCCATTGTAGGCCAGGTCAGGGGGCGCTGCCTTTTTGGTGGGACAAGACTGATCAAATGAAGTGAGGACAGGCTTGTGGTGACCTGCTACCACGGTTGGATTCCCCAAGCTAAAAGATGTCTATTTGAGTGTATCATGTCGCTAAATGTTAACTCCAGATGGCTCTGTCTACTCAGGAGGCTTATGTATCTGTTCTGTCATTTTTTTTTTTTTTTTTAAGATTAAGGATTCAACCTTCAAGCCCACCCCCCAACCACCCCAACAACCATCTCTTCAGGCAGCCAAGTAACAGCCCTCCGCCCTCCGTCAGCACTGCCGTGATCCCATCTCACGGTGAGTGCAGCTGGCCATGGCCATTACATGCCATGCAGACAAAGACTTGGTCTTTTGCTTTGATTTGTTGGTGTTTTATTTTATTCCTTGATTGTGAAAGCTTGGGTAAATTTCTTAACTTCTGTGTACCTGTGCTTTCTCAGTACAGCTGTAATAATAGCAATATATGTAAATCAGCTGGGACAGTAACTAATGTAATAGTCCTTACTATAGGCTTACGATAGGTTAACCATTATTATTGTATCTCCTAAAAACCCTCTCCAGGCCTCCTATTGGGTGTGATTCTTTAGAGGCTAGCACATAGTCAGCTCCTTGTCAGTCTGAAAAAGCACTAGCGTTGCCTCTAGGTTCTTCTAATCCAGATGGAGTCCCTGAGATCCGAATGTGTAATTTAGCCAATTTTCAGGGTCACTTGTGTGTTTTCACATTTGGGAAACACTGCACACCCCTGCCACTCAGAATCCAGCTGTAGAGCAGCTCTAAGGGGGAATTAGTTGGAAATACAAATTCATGGGGAACCCACCTGACCTATGAATCTATGGGTAGGGCCCAGTGAGTGAGATTGCTTTTCTGCCAGTTCTTGGTATTGTCTTATAAAGGGAGGCTTAAGAAGGCTGTTCTAGATTCTATGTGCTGTGAGTCTCCTTCTGGGCTCCCTACTTACAGCTGGCAGGTAACCAGCCGTCCCTTTCTCTGCAGGTGCTACATCTCCTTCCCAGTTTCAAGGCTTACCCTCCCATGGTGCGATCTTCCAGCAGCAGCCTGAGAACTGTTCCCCACCTCCCAGTGTGGCACTAACCTGCTTGGGCATACAGCAGCCTAGCCAGTCACAGCCAGTGACTATCCAGCTACAGGAGCCAGTTGACATGCTCAGCAACATGGCAGGGACAACTGCAGGCTCTGCTGGGCGGGGCATCGCCATGAGCCCCAGTGCCAGTCAGATTCAGATGCAGCACCGTAACAACCTAATGGCTACCTTCAGCTATGGGCACCGGCCCTTGTCCAAGCAGCTGAGTGCGGACAGCGCAGAGGCCCACAGGTAAGCTCCTGGGTGGTACCCAGCCCCTGTGTAGGTGATCTGGAGAGGAAGAAGCCCCTTAGCAGAGCAGAGTGGGTGGGAAGGAACAAGTGTGAGGAGCCTGTGCTCTTGTATCACCCTTTGTAAAAGCAGCAAGGTGGGTTCATGAACCAAACTGTTCATGAACCAAACTGTTAGTGAGGCAAGAGAAAAATGGCGGCATGCCTTCCTGGTGGTCTGCAAAAAAGGGAAGGTCTGTTAGAGGAATGTAGGGAGGTGTCAGTTCCCCTCGGTTATTAGTTCAGGGTCTTTCCTTCTCTGTCCTTCTCTGGGACACTGCTGCTCTAAAAAGCTCTGGTTATTTTTAAGAAAGGCTAGATTAGACTGAGGGTGCAACTCTGTGGATAGAGTGCTGGGTTGGCGTGCACAAAGCCCTGACTTCAGTCCTCAGCATCACACAAACCCGGTGTGCTAGCCCACACCCAGGACCCCAGCACTCTAGAGGTAGAAGCAGGAGGGTCAGGAGTTGAAGGTCCTCCTGAGCTACATGGCAACTTATAGGCTAGCCTGGACTACATGAGACCCAATTCAAGAAAGAAACCAAAACCGAATTGTTGCTTTCAAGACTGCGGCTTACATGCCCAGTGCCATAAGTCTCTAAGCAAATGAGGGGACAAATAGTGGTGACTGCACAACCCTCCCTGTCACAGCACAGGTCTGTACCATGGAAGCTTCATGCTAATAAAGACTAGTGACTATTCCCAGGGAAGTTGGTGTAGTTATTACTCGAATGCCTGGTACTCACACCCTTTTGTGTCTGCAGCTTGAACATGAATCGGTTCTCTCCTGCTAACTACGACCAGGCGCATTTACACCCCCATCTGTTTTCGGACCAGTCCCGGGGGTCCCCCAGCAGCTACAGCCCTTCAACAGGAGTGGGGTTTCCTCCAACTCAAGCCCTGAAAGTTCCTCCACTTGACCAGTTCCCCACTTTCCCTCCCAGTGCACAGCAGCAGCCACCACACTATACCGCATCAGCACTACAGCAGGCCCTGCTCTCCCCTACACCGCCAGACTATACCAGACACCAGCAGGTTCCCCACATCCTTCAAGGACTGCTCTCTCCTCGGCATTCGCTCACTGGCCACTCGGACATTCGGCTGCCTCCAGCAGAGTTTGCACAGCTCGTTAAAAGGCAGCAACAGCATCGACAGCAACAGCAGCAGCAGCAGCAGCAGCAGCAGCAAGAATACCATGAATTGTTCAGGCACATGAACCAAGGGGATGCTGGGAGCCTAGCTCCTAGCATCGGGGGACAGAGTATGACAGAGCGCCAGGCTTTATCTTATCAAAATGCTGACTCGTACCACCATCACCACCACGCCAGCCCTCAGCATCTCCTACAGATCAGGGCGCAGGAATGTATCTCACAGGGTCCCTCACCCACTCCCACCCATGGGTATGCCCATCAGCCGTCACTAATGCATTCGGAGAGCATGGAAGAGGACTGCTTGTGTGAGGGGGCCAAGGTGGGCTTCCCAGACAAGAGCCCAAGCACACTGACCAAAGGTTGCCACGACAGCCCTCTGCTCTTGAGTACCGGTGGACCTGGGGACCCTGAGTCATTGCTGGGAACTGTGAGTCAGGCCCGGGAGCTGGGGATCCATCCCTACGGACACCACCAGCCAGCTGCCACGTTCAGTAGAAATAAGGTGTCCAGCCGAGGTAAGAGTCCCCTCAAAGTAAAAGTCTTGGGCAAGTCTGCTCTAATTTAAGTGTGCAGGGGCATTAGCTTGGTTCCACTAGTACTCTGTGCACCTAAGGGGACCAGGGAGCCCTGAGAATACCCCCCCCCAGGACCATTTCAGGGAGAAGTGAAGCATGTAGGAAGTGGCTATTGCTGGGTAAGAGGCCACATAAAATAAAGTGATAGAAGTGGATAGCACCCAGCGCACGCCTGCTCACACCATGGTATCTTGGAATCCAGATATGCCCAGCTGTCATCAGAAAGCTGCAGTAGAGACAACCAGCAGCACTAAGGAAATGTGTAAACTGTGGAGCTGGGAGTCAGAGCCCCCAGCCCTGGCCTCACCCTGCCCTCACTGTTAGAGCCAGAGACTCTTGGTTCTGGCCGTCCTCTTTTGTGAAAGAGAAGCATGATGAACACTGGCCCTCTGTAGCGTTGTGTGACGATTCAGACATTTGTGTTTATACATGCTGCTCATGAAAAAGAGAGCACTAGGTAACTGACAGTGTGCTATAAACTGTTAGGGCTGTCTTCATTGCCATCTGAAGATAAGGGTTTTCATCAGTGAGTTTTGTTAGCATGCTCATATTTGCCTAGCAAATTCCAACCTGTGGAGCAGATTGTGTCACCCAGCCTAGAGGTCTGCTCTCACATGTATATTGCGTTCTCCAGTGACTGTATTTAGGGTGGGACTTTCTGAACAGGTCCTGTGTACAATGAGAGACACCTTTAGCAGTGTTGGGGATTGGGACTGAACCACAGGCAGAAACAGACCTGTCAGATGGAAGGAGGGACTCCACTTAGCTAAATGTGTGCTATGGAGCAGAACCTAAGTCGGGGTAGAAATCACAGCAAACTGTAGCTCTTTATAGAAGACTATTGCCAGAAACTGACAGCATAGGCTGCCTGAGAACCCTGGAAACTTCCTATTGCTGGGTGGTTCTAGATGAGGTAGTTGGCCTTGGCGGACATACTGGGCAAGGAATCTGTGTGAAGAGTAAGCATGCTGACCCTGCACCATGCACACGTGCTCACATGCAATTCATTCTGTCATTCCTCCTTTCTGTGGTGCCGGAGCAAAACCCAGGGCCTCCTCACACATGCTAAGTGAGTAAGCTCTGCTACTCAGCTGCTCCTGGCCCATATTTTAGTGGGTGCAATGGCCCATTGTCCCCATTTTACCAGTGAAGCAACCAAGACTTGAGAGATATGTAACTTACCTCTGGGTCAGAGCTTACAAGTATCACCGTCACTCTGTCACCACCCCAACAAATTTTTGAACATGTTTTGATGTACAGGCTACTGAAGAAGGAATAAGGCTGGAGGGGACGGTGCCCCTGGCCAACAGTTGCCACGTGTTTAATTATAATAGAAGTGTTCTTCCAAGGATACTTTCTCTGACTTCTCTCCACTTTTTCTCCTCTGAGATGCCTGTGTACATGAAGGATGGAGAGGCCTCACCCCCACTGTCCTCTTTTGTCAGAAATGCCTCTTTGGCTACTTCCTACCCACAGCAGGCTGAGCATGGTCAGTGCACATGCCGTAGCAGCACCAGAAGAGGGAGAGGCCGGCTCTGTAGAAGAATGGGAAGGTTTTCTAGATGCTAGGTAGCACATGGACAGACAGGATTCTGCCCTTTGGCCTTGGGGGAGAAGCACAGGAAAGAGCCAGTGTCTCAGAGCCATCTGCTCCCAGGCTTGCTTAGCTTGGAGTGTAGCACGGGGAAGAATTAGGAGAAGCTAAGGGGAAAAGTTTTCTAAGAGACAGAGTTTTGTCTAGGTCCAGCTTCATATTGCCATGAAAATCATGGCCCACTGCTCCATTCTCCTGGTAGTTAGAATAATCTCTGAGGGATTTCCAGGCTGCCAACTGGTCCTGGTCAGGTCTCTCTTCCCGTGCAAAGGTTTCATTTCCGGTTCATGCTTCGTGTTATATTTACTTCGTCATCAGATCTGTCCTTCCTAGCTAACCAACCACTGTGATTCCTCTTTCTTTCCTCCCTCTCCATCCACCACCGTCACTGCCACTGTCCCCCATAAATATGTTGCTGGCCTCGTAGAATCAAGGCAGACACATAGCCCTCCAGGTTTCAGTTCAAAGTTGTCCTGTCCCTACAGCCTTACCCCCAGTTTTTTTCTGGGTAGTTCACACCCTATGGGATCCTGTTTATCACTGACCTTTTCCCCATGACCTTTGACATTAGTTTGGTAGAAGCTTCCTTTACTGTCTGTCTGCTGCTGTATCACAGAGATGAGTGGCCCTCCCATTTATTTGTTTGTTTGTTTGTTTGTTTGTTTGTTTTACATGTCAATCCCAGTTCCCTCACCATCCCTCTCTACCTCCCTCCCATGCCCCTCCACCATCCCATCACCCCCCCCCACTCCACATGTAGGGTGATGCCTCCAGGAGGGGTCACCTAAATCTGCCAAGTCATTTGGAGTAAGGACTAGGCCCTCCCTCCTGTGTCTAGGCTAAGGGAGTATCCCTCCATGGGGGATGTGCTCCCAAAGTCCTTTTGTGCACCAGGGATACATCCTGGTTCCACTGTCCGCAGTCCCTTAGACTGCCCAGTCCTTCTAACTGAGACCCATGTTCAGGGGGTCTGAGTCGGTCTAATGCTGGATTCCCAGCTATCAGTCTGGGGGGAGTGGCCCTGTTATCCAATGTCTGCCCCCAGCAAAGCCACAAATGTATGTATAATTATGCGAGTTTAGGCCCCGAAGAGTGAAGTGATGCAGGGGAGGCGTTCGTGAATTAGTGAGGCCCAGTGCATGCTGCTGCAGTTGCTTCAGAACCCCTTAGAGTGTGCATGTTGGGGTCCGCCTGTGTGTTCAAAGTGATCCTCTCTGGAGCCCTGCTGTCCTTACGCTATCACAAGTTGTCGGGACCTACTCAGTAAACACGCTTCTGTTTGTTCTTCCAGTAGTGAGGGGACTGAGCTAAATGAAAGCTTGTCGAACCCCTGCTCTGTGCTTGATGCTTTTGACTCAGTTTATGTTTCCTTCTCACACCCACCCTGAGGAAGCATGGGTTAAGATTCCATTTCAGAAGCCAGGCTGTGGTGGTGAACACTTTTAATCCCAGCACTTTGGAGGCAGAGGACCTCCGATTGAGGCTAGCCTGGTCTACAGAGTGAGCTCCAGGGCAGCCAGGGCTACCCAGAGAAACTATCAAACGTTACAGGAGTGAGTGTGCTCAGTGGGTAAAGCACTCACCATGCAAGCCTGACTGACAACTTGAGTGTGATCCCAGAACCCGTGTAAGAATGGAAGAAAAGGAATAGCTCCGAAAGAGTATCTTCTGACCTCCATACATGTCCCATGGCACCCACACACATATTTATTTATACATATGCAATCATAATCAGAATAAAGAAATTTTACAGACCGTTCTAACAGTGTGCTCCACCAGACCACAGGAAGGGCAGGACCTTCATCCTTGCCACTCTGTTTGGACAGAGGAACCTGATGGTTCTTGATAGCCCCTCCATCTCAGTGGAGTTGCAGGAGAGAAGTTGAATACAAGTACTAAGCCAGTAGTGCTGTGGGGATGTGGGAGGGAAAGCCGAAGGGCCTGTCCTCGGCCCTATTCATGAAGAGCTATGTCAGAAGTTGTCTAGAATGTGCTATAGCTAACAAGCGCAGAACTCTAGGCATATTAGTATTTCTTAAGAGTGGATGAGCAAAGCTTACTGATGTTAGTCTAGGAAACTTAGTTGCCTTTGTCCTGTGTCTGTGGTTTTTTTGTTTCCTGTATGTCTTGTTTGCTGACATCCAGTAGGAGGCCATCCTGGACAGAGCACTGGGCACACACTTTGTCAGAAATTTCTTCCAAATGTCACAGGTTTCAGGGTTAACTCTGCCCTTTTCTGCCTACGGTCTCATTGTCCTCCACTTGAGGAGTGAAAATAGGGTGCATCCTCTTGCTGCACTGTTTGTTACAGGGGCTTCAGGCTTTGACTGCATAAGTAAATAAATACAATTGCACTAACAGCTTAAACAATGAGGTTACCAACTTAGACTCAGAAAACCACATCCTCTTCTCCCAGCCCAGTCAGCTTCAGGCCTGAAGGGTAAAGTGCTGACAGCCTTGGAGGGATTAAGATGTTAACCCTTAGAGCCTTTAAGAGGTAGGCAAACATGCCGTTTCTCATTACTCTTAAAACCCAGTAAATAGTAAGGACGAGTCAACATTGACAGATTCAACAGTTACGCAAACTGCCCTGGAGTCCCCCCGGGTGTGGGGGTGTGCCTTGGATCCCTTTGTGCATTTTGTCCCTTACTTGTTCAGACAGTCACCCTACTCTCTGTACCCCCCACCCCTGGTCATTGGAAGGCATGGTCCCTGCTTTGTTTATATGCCCTTCTGTGAGCCTGCCTGTTCTTCCAGCTCCTGAAATGGCATAAAGGCCACCAGAGACTCTTGTCCCTTGGTCAGCAGGTTGGTCTTTTTACAGCCACTGGTCAGCAGGTCTCATCTATGGACTTTGAGGCTCAGGACTCTTCCTAAACTCATCCCTTTACCTGTGGAGTCCTTAATGTTTACCACAGACATTCCACTTGTGTCAGGGGTTTTGGAGCCCTTAGCTGTCAGATAAGGGAGGCTACCTGGCTGCCACATTGTGTGTACTCTAGTGGTGATTGACCTGGACCCTGGCTTATGCTGCCTCATTCTTGGCCCTTATATTCTTTCCTTTATGCCTGTGATAGTTTCCTGTCTCTGAGGAGATCAGCTTATGGGGAGGAAAGATTTGTCAGAGGTCACAGCTATAATTTGACCTTGTTGCTTTGGGGCCTGAGACAACACTTCATGGCAAGGCATGACATGTTGGAACAAAGCTACACCTCATTCTGGCTGGGAAACAGAAAGGGAACAAAGGGGGAGCTGGCTCCCAAATCCCAGTCAAGGACACACCCCATCGTCCTCTAACTTTTTAAAAACCTTTTTTCGTTGTATTTCTTTTGTATCGTGCCAGTAGCTGGGTTTGTTCCATAGCCCTCATGTGGAGGTCAGAGGACATGTACGAGTTTGTCTTGTCCTTTCACAACGTGATCCCAGGGATGGGATGGAACTGAGGTCTTCAGGCTTATTGCAAGTACCTTTACCCATGGAGCCATCTTGCCACTCTGAGAGGGAGAGAAGAGGGTGGGAGGGGGTGGAGGAGAAGAGAGAGAGAGAGAGAGAGAGAGAGAGAGAGAGAGAGAGAGAGACAGAGAGAGAGAGAGAGAGAGAGAGAGAGAGAGAGAGATTGAGATTGCAGTTGCATACAGCTCAGGACAGTTGAGAGGGTTAGTTCTCTTCTTTCCTCCACCTGGGGATTAAACTCGGGTCATCAGACTTGATGGCAAGTGCTTTACCTGCTGAACCAACTCACCAGCCCCAACCTAACCCTCCTAAAAATTCCATAACACCCTATTAGTGCCAGGTGCCTTTGGGTGACAGCCAAGATCCTTACCCCAGCAGCTCCCGGTTCCCACTCTTCCTCTTCCCAGCACAACTTCTGAATGTGAGATGCCAACCCCTCCAGTAAAAGCCTGCTCCCCAACTACTGTCAGTATGCTTCCTTCATTTTCATCTGGTGTGGATTTATATTTTTGTGATGTTTAAGGATCACGCACAGGTCCTACATACATTAAGCAAGCATTTTGCCGCTGAGCAGTGTTTTCAGCCCTAGATCTGGTTCATTATCACATTTATTCCTTCTAGATCAGAAGCTGCCACTCTGGAAAATTAAAGTTTGGGTAACTAATCTGTCCGGTGTCCCTTGCTCTGTTAGCGGAAGTAAGGTCCAGAAGGATCAGCTCCCTGGCTCCCTCCTTCCCCCAGGAAGCAATGAAGCTAGTGTCAAGCCGAGTCTTCCCCTTCCAGACTTGTGTTCCTGGCCACTGTGCCATCTCCACTGGACAGAGGAGAGAGCGCTACACTGGGCACCCAGCAAAGCTGGTCACCTGATTTACCAAATGATTGCTCTTACGTCCTGGTGGCATTCTCGAGCTGTGAACATCACCCAGAAAGCCAGGCAGGAGAGCTAAGAGCAGGAAAGCAGATCCTGAAGTCTTCAGAAAGGCTGGGCGGGTGTTTGGATTTGGAGAAGCCTCATTTCTCAGATCTAAAAAGTTCAAAAGTGGGAAAGAGGACAGACAGGAAAGCACACACACAGAAGCATCTGGAAGAAGGAGAAGGATGTTAAATACAAGCGCCAGGACTGTTGTTAGCTTTGCTGCCTGCTCCTGGTTGATAGCAGTCCTTAAAATCTCTGAACAAGGTCCAGTGAAATAGCTCAGCAGGTAAAACCCTGGTGATGTGAGTTTGAGCCCTGCAACCTACAATGGACTGAGAGAACCAACTCCAGAAAGTTGTCCTCTCGCCTCCACACACAGGACATAGCATGCGCGAACCTGTGTGCACACAATTAGTTACATTTAATGTTTCAAATCTTTGAACAAGAGCTGGGGTGTAACACCAGTAACACTACATATATACAACACATGCACCACATACATAGAACATACACATGCACACATATAAAAATAGGAACAGGGATAAAAGAACAAAACTAGCACAGTCTTTATAGGGTAGTAACTGTGGGTAGTTAGAAAAAAAATCTAGGCGAGAGGTAATGGGCCTTGACGGGAAGTAGAAAGTCTCGATGCTGAAGTGTCCACCACTGAGTGAGTGACTTCAGACTTCTAGCTATTGTGAGACCAGAAAAAAGGAATCAAGCATGACTCCAAGAGCTTATCCCTTAAAGATTAGGGGAATAAGAGGCTAAAACCAAGGGTGTCTGGAGGAGTACCAGGTTCTGGGGAAGTTGATGAGTTTGGAATTTGATATAAGTGTTACATACTGGTTAGATATACAAGAAAATAGTTGGATCTATGGATCTGGAACATAAGAAAGCATATCAGTAATTCTTTTCACACTTATTTAGTGTATGTACACGTGCATGAGCACACATGTGGAATCATGTGTCCTTCTAGGTGAGTTCGGCTCATCAAGCTTGATGACAAGTGTTTCTCTTCACTGAGCATCTTGCTGGTCCCATTACAGTATTTTTTTTACACAGACTCAGTGTAGTTGAAGCCATGGACCTAGATGATGTCAAAATAGCCATGGGGAGTGAGGTCAAGCACAGCAGGCAGCGCCACAAGTAGCAGTGGGAACAGAAGAGACCTGGGGTGGTGCTAAGGCGGAAGCCGCAGCCCTGAGTTCAGGCCGGAAGTTCTGGCGGCTGGAGTTCTCCCTCTGTACACCGATTTGGGAGCAAACGCAAGCTAAGCCAGCAGAAAGGTAGGGAAAGAGGATGAGTGTGGCCCGGCTCATACCAACTAGGTGGGGTTTCCCCTTAGGGCAGGGAGTACCCTAAAGAAACTCGTATTTGCTGTAGGACCTGGTATTGTCTAGCTGGCCAGCTCCTTTAACACCAGTGCCAGCCGGCTGAGCTTGGCAATTGGGTAGTTATGGTCTCCCTCTCACTCATTGTCTCTTGCAAGGGGTGGCCTGGGAGTTGACATCACTGAGAAAAGTCATGGACCTGCTCACCCTGTTGTGCTTGTTTCCTAGAGTCTGTCATAGGGAATTGCATGGATAGAAGTTCTCCAGGACAAGCAATGGAACTGCCAGATCACAACGGGCTTGCGTATCCAACTCGGCCCTCGGTCCATGAGCCTCTCAGGTCCCGGACCCTCCAGAGACACCACACGATCCAGAACAGTGACGATGCATACGTATGTTGGCCCCTCCTGCTGCTTAGAGGTGGGATGTTGCCAATCTTAATTTGAAAGCAGAACTTACCCTTCAGCATCTTCTCAGAGTCCAGCCCTCTGCAGGCTGTGGGGGGGGGGGGGTGCATTTCTTTGATTTTTTCCGTAACAGACAAGCCTTACCTCTTCATCCAAATGTTAGGCTTTGGACTCAAATAAGCTGATATCTTGGGTCTTAACCTCTCCCAGAAATTTAAACCCAGGCCTCAACCTATGAACCGTCAGTTTTTGGTCCTTTTCTGGCAACTTGTTTCCCTGTCTCTGGCTTTCTTGAGAATTGACCTGTCGGCTGGGACACACCCAACCGTGGTAGCACCTAGAAGCCATCAGCCAGCAGTTTGTGGCTGTTGAAATGTGACTGGGTTAAAGTCATACAAGATTACAAATTTAGTTCTTCCACTGTACATACTTTACATGCCCAGCAGCTACCTTGTCACAGGGCATTTGAGAACAGGGCTGTCCCCTCAGAGAGCAGTCAACAGCTCTGTGCAGCAGAGGAAGCGAGTTTTGGAGTGGTGACCCAGGACACCCTTTGCCTGAGCTGCTGTGGAGGGAATAGGGGGTCCCCTGAGAGTGGCACATTGTCTGGCAGCCTCACCCCTGACTGTTTTCTGCAGGTGCAGCTGGATACCTTGCCAGGAATGAGCCTGGTGGCAGGGAAGGCACTGAGCTCTGCCCGAATGTCAGATGCAGTTCTCAGTCAGTCTTCACTCATGGGCAGCCAGCAGTTTCAGGACGGGGAAGATGAAGGTGAGGCCTTGCCCATGGGTACTCCTGGGCAGTTCCCCAGAGGGACTTCTGTGGAAACAGTTCACTGTGTGAAGTGCTACATAGTGTCACTCACCACACATCTCCCTGAGAGTGCATGTGTAAGGGACTCTGGCTTCAGTCCGCACAGAGTCATCATAGTCCAAGCTGCAGCAGGAGGCACCTTCAGTAATAGCTCTTTCCACATCTTCATAGAGGGCCTTATACCTCAGTAGATCATACGTGTCTGTGTCTCTGTAGAGCCAGGGCAACAGACCATAAATAGAGGCCTGATAATAGATAGGTCCACCCTTCCTAAGCTTTGCAGGCTAAGCCTTAACCTTCCTGATCCCAAGTCCTCTTCTTTGGAGACAAGAAGAGAGCAGCAGCACGCACTGCCTACCTTGTGTCTCGAGGGATGCTGACCTCCTGCGGGATTGTTTATGAGTGCAATGTCCAGGAAAATGTGCCTTGGCCTGGCTCCTTGTGGGCACTCACTACAGTTGTCCTTCCCACCAACTTGAAGAAAAGGCCGCAGAGGGGTTTCTCATCTTAAAGAGGATTGTGAAAGGAAAGGGGGAAGGTGGTCAGGAAGGGTCCCTCAAGTCCGAAGGGCCTGCTGCAGCTGAAGTCAGAGCGGGAATGAGGCTGGGGTTGACAGAGAACTGCCTCCCTCTCCTGTCTCACTTGTTCTTTTTGGTCTTGCAGAATGCAGGGTGAGCCTGGGAGGTCACGAGCATCCAGGCCTGAGTGATGGCAGCCAGCATTTAAACTCCTCTCGCTATCCATCTACGTGTGTTACAGACATCCTGCTCAGCCACAAGCACCCCGAGGTTTCCTTCAGCATGGAGCAGGCTGGCGTGTAGCAGGATATGGAGAGTGAGTGTCACCCTGGTCAGGCCCAGCCCCGTGGCCCAGTGCCAGCCCCTGACCCCTTCAGCATGTTCATTCCTTGTGTGGTACCTGGTGAGCCTGAGTATCCCTCTTTCCATGCAGCCTTCCCATCTGCCTTTTTTTTTTTTTTTTTTTTTTTTTTTCTTTTTTTAAAGTTCTATGTTAGTTTTGAGGTGAACTGTATGTCTCTTATGAGACCCAGTGAGCTACAGCTGCAAAGGACAGAGGCCAGTGACCTTTGGCCAGCACACTAAGAAAGGGAGCTAATCTTTACACTCTATCCTGAAGGGTGAAACCCAACCAAAGAACAGATCCAGCCATGATCCTTCATTCATCATTTTTGTTGTTGTGTGTTTTGGCATTTTGGTGCTGGGCATAGAACCCAGGGCTAGGCAAGCACTCTGCCACAGAATTCCAGCCCCAGCCCCAGCTGGACTTTGTAAGGAGTAAACAAAGGATCTATCGTCTGAGACCCATGCTGAAAAGGGCAGTGGGCACTAGTAGTTCTGTCTCCACAGAGACAGAAAGACTTGAGGAAAGTGAAGTCACAGACAGAGGCATGGCAGGGCCTCAGTGTGGCCAGGCTCATACAGTGACACCTGAAAAAGACTTCACTGAGGGCCTTCTAGCATATGGCTTACTGGTAGAGCACATATATGACATACACAGGACCTGAGTTCCAGCCCCAGGACCATTAGAAAGCGGTAGGGAGTATGCGTGAAGACTCTATGACTCGGGCCGCTCCTTCAAAGTCGTCCTGTGTCTGCTTCCCAGGTGTGTGTGCAGCTGAGGAGGAGGTTGACCCTAAACCAACAGTGTCCAGCAGCGTCGCATCACCTTGCCATCTGTGTCTCTGCCAGGACAGTGCAGCTCCTTTCCCCACACTGGGCACCAGTAGGCCGTTGCTTGGGTTCTGAGGGACTTTTGCTATGTTTGTTTGTATGACCAAGGCACCAAGGAAATAAACAGGAAATCCATGTTCTCCATCTTCTGGGAACCGGCATCTGGTGTGCTTGAGTTTCTGGTGTTTGGAGGTTTGCTTGTATTTTGTTTGGGGAATTTTCCTTTGGGGATGACGTTTTTCTCCTCCTCCCCCACCTCTCCTTTCTTCAGCTCGTGCTCTTTCTCCCTCCCTCCCTTCCTCCTTCCCTCCCTCCTTCCCCCTCTCTCTTGGTTTTGTTTTCTCCTTTCCATTTCTGAGGCAGAGGAGCTAGCAGTTAGTATTCAGGGGCTGAACCTCAGGACCCTCCATTCCACAGCCTCTCTCCCTCTGCTCCAGTCTGCCAGGAACAAATGCTAGACTGGAGCTCAGTGGCTAAGAAAGAGAGAGTAAAAGAAAAAAAGAAACTCGAGCCTGGAATCTGATGCAGTGTCCTGCTGGGCGCTACTAGAACTGTATCTGGTCCAGCATAGGCTGAATGGCCTGCTGCTGAAGGTTCCAACCAGTATGGCTCAGTGTGGGGCCTTCTGTGTGTGGCTCAGCGCCCCTCTAGCCACCATCCAACTGGTTTCCCCTCATGAGTGAACACCCAGCAGCGATGCACTGTGCTGCTTGTGTGGCCTCCATTCTTCCTCTCAGCTGCATTGTAAAAAGGACCGTTGGTCCAGTCATGTGTGCATATATATGAGCGTGTATATATGCCCTTCCCTTTCAGCCTCTGTCACAGACAAGGATAGGAGGCTGTGTGGAGCCCCTTAACTTCCTCCTCTCCCTAGCATCTTCAGCCCCTACATTTTAATTCTTGATCATGTAGGAATTGTTTTTGGTAAATGTTGATATTATTGTTATTATTGTTATTATTAATAAAGACAAAATAATTTTTGTTTAAAAGAGAATTGTTTAACCAGATTCTGTGCTATTGAACTGTGGCTTGCGCCTTCTGTTCGAAGCATTTTCCTTGGCATTGGCATTGTGAACCACTCTCCTGTGCCATCGAAGGATGCAGTGCCCCCCCCCCCTTTCCCACCTGAAGCAGCGCATATGCAATAGCTAGTGTTTATGTCCTTACCTTTCTCCCTCTGCTGATAGAAACCAAAGTCTCCTTTGCAGCCTGGGGGCTGAGCAAGGCCTTGTTCTCTCCTGGTCCTCAAAACCAGTGAGGAGTGGCCTCTGTTCTGACTCTTAGCCCTCATTTCTGAGAGCCAGAGGTCTCCTTCCTCTGCATTTGCACAGAAGAAAGCAGTTGCCTAGCATGGCATCCAGATGTTGCCAGCAGGGCCCCCACCCAGCTTATCCTTCTCCGCTGACACCGGCAGCTTGCTTCTGAGCCCACTGTCCCTTGAGTGGGTTTGTTTTCGATGCAAGAGCTTTGCTGGGGACCTGTTCCATGGTCCTGTATCCTCCAGTCTCCTCTCCACTTCATGGGGTCACCAGTCACTCACCACAAGTCTGACTTCCCAAGAAAGCTTGAAGAGCCGTTGTTGGCTTCTAAGCTCAGTCCAACTCTGATGTCCAGGGTGTGTCCTGCTGCTCCGAATGCTCGGCCTGACCTGTTTACATGGTACTAGATTGATGGAAGAGCAGATGCCACCCTCCAGAGCCACCCAGAATGAAAGCCAGTGAGCCTATTAACCGTGCCATCTTGCAAACTATTTTCAAGATCATCATTGCTTTACATTGTAGTAACCAATATGCGCAATATGTTGAATATATATGAATATACTTTGCTATTTCTGTTCTTTGAAAATGTTAAGAAGTATTTTTTTCTTTCTCATTTCTGTTAAACTTAAAAAAAACAAAAAGGCTTAAAAAAAAAAAATCTCCAGATTCAAGTTGCTAAGACATTTTGTCCTTGTTTGTGTGGGACATTTACAACTTAGTAACTTGGTTGGACAGTAGGAGGTTGTGGAAATAAAAACCTTATTATGTTCTAACACTGATATGTTGTTTGCCTTACAGTTCAGAGTCTAGCGAGGAAATCACATGGGGTGGAGATGAATGGACACAGGTGTCTGGAGAAATCCCCAGGCATAGGGTGGGGCTCTGATGGTTCCCTCACCTTGCCTTCTGAGCCTAGCAAGTCAATCTCACACTGTGTCCTAGACATTCATGTGGACTCTAACCCCTCAGAAGGGACACATTTATGTTTGCAGAGTTGGATGGAAAATGGATTACTTGGGGTCTTCAGGAAGGAGAGCCGTGAGTTGACCCTGGCTGGAACAGTTGTGGGGTGACTTCAGTCAGCTGAAAGATCAATGAGATACTCAAGCATAGGACAGAAAGGGGCTTTCCTGTTGTTTTCCTCTGTCTGTGCCTGGATTCCAGTACAGGGCAGAATTTCCAACAGGTCCCAGGCACAGCAGAGAAGACTAAAATCTTGTGTGAAGACAGCTCAGTGACTTTGGGAATATGGAGCATTTAGAAAGAGTGAGAGAGGCTGGAAAGATGGTTCAGTAGTTAAGAGCACCAATTTCCTGCAGCTCACACCACCCCAGAACTCCAGTTCCAAGGGATCCGACACGTTCCACAGGCACCTGTATACAGATGGTATACACTCCTACATAGAAAAATCTTCTATAGGAAAGAAAGCCTTTGAGCCTAAAGTAGTGATGGGATTGTTGAGAGCAGAGGATGCCATCTCAGGCAAGCCCCTGGAAGGCCTGAAGTGCACACTGCTGCTAGAGGTGAGCCAGTGATGGGCCCTAAGGACTCCCAAGAAGTCATCACACCTTTTGCCACAGGTGCTGCTCTGGCAGTCACTGGATGCTTTCAGCTTGAGGTAGGGTGGGTATCCAGGGCAGCAGGATTCAGCTTGAGGTAGGGTGGGTATCCAGGGCAGCAGGATTCACTCGCCTGGGCTCAGGGAAGGAGACTGACTGTGCTGGTGTTAGACCCCACCCACTCAACCACAAAATACTTATTCTCCTGAGCAGGAGGCAGGAGTATCATGCAGAGCTGGTGACAGTGTCCTCGCTGTAACAGGGCTGTCAATCAAGAAACCTTGGGAACCCAGCTGCTTAGGGAGACCCCAAGCCCCAGTTCCCCATTCCTACCAACACCGTTTCTTACCGGGTACATATTTCCAGAAGGGGCTGCCACCAGTGAAGGCTCGCGCCTTCCTATGACCCTTTGCCAGTCTGGGAGCCTTTAGTGTACCAATGTCATTCATCCAGTGAATGTTTGGCAAGTCTCTGGTGCCAGGCCCAGCCAAGGACAGAGTCCCTGCACTGCCCTGTGCAGATAATCTGCTGTGTTGAGACAGACATTGTGAAATGGGCTACATTCATGGCTCCTGAAGTTGCCAGCACTCCCATGAATGTTAAGGGATTCAAAGGCAGCACTTGCCCAATTCAGAGGCTAGTTTGGAGGCTTCCAAGATGAGAGTGAGGATGGTGGTAGAAACCATAATGACGGGCATTGTCTCTACTCCCTGGACCAACCCTAGACACCCAGCACCTCTAACAATGACCAAACCCAGTCTTAATCTATGATGACCCCATTTTAGTATTGATCTGCCTAGAAGGACTTCCTGTCCAGAATAGTAAGGCACTGTTTAGTTTAAGCCAAATGTGTCTTGTGATAAAGTGACAGACACTAGCAAGTAAGTATGAAGCAGGGAGGGGGTGGGGGGGAAGTGACCATGGTGGCATACACCTGTAACCTCAGCACAGAAAGCCAAGGCAGGATACCAAGACGGGAACACACTTACTGCTCGGTAACAGCTTGTCCCAGAGTTCTCTTACTCTGATGGCTTGGGTTCCAATCCCTGAGCCAGGCGTGTCCCTGAAAAGAATATGAAGGCTTATGAAATCAAGAAGCCACCATCAGAGAACTAGAAGCCAGACCTGACTCCCAGCCCCAGGGCACCATCTCAATGCTGAGGGGCAAGAATGCCCTTATTGGCTCTAAGCTGCAATTTTCTGACAGGCAAAATACCAAGGGAGAAAACCTGGGCCTCCAGCCTTATCGGATGTCTCAAGTTAACTGAAATTGAGATGAGGACCTGAGCAAATATTAGGCTCAAGTAGCTGGCCACCATCATTTCAGTAATGAGCCAAAAAGAAAGGTAAAAACTAACGAGCAGGCTGTGGATCAACAGGTAAGCTGCTCCTGTCGGGGGCAGCCTTGATCATTCTCTTAAGCAGGCCACCTCCCTCTGCATTCTTCCATAGACATACAGGACTGGTTTCATCCTGGAGAAGACATCACAGTGCCAGGCACCTGCCTGCCTTGCCCCATTTCTGTTGCCCGAAGCCGGAGTCACAGGCTTAGGCCTACTAATGCAAATGTGTTCATGGCAGTGAAATCGGGATTCTAGGACACAGAGCACTTGCCATTTGCTGCTCGTTACCTTTCAACAGTTTTGTGCACATGTTCAAGTTTCATGGTTAACACAACAAGAATATCTTAGAGCTCCAGAGTTCAGAAGGTCAAACCATAGCTAAAAACATGGCCGAGTTTTCATTCAGAAAAACCTGCACCTTCACTTCTGCCAGCATCCTTGGATAGGCAGCCATTGTCCCTTGGCTCAATCACTGCTGCCAGCACTCACATTGTCTACCCCTGTTCCTGTTCTCCCGCCTCCGCTTGCATATTGAAGGGCTTCTGTGATTACAGTGCCCTCTGGACACCTAGGCTCAAGCCCCTTAATCACACTTTCCATGTTAGGCAGCAGTATGGGTTCCTGGCATTAGAAGTGCACACGCATCTCTCTACCCCGTCATTCTGCTTCTCACACTGACTGGGATCATAACAAAGGTATGGCGTGTCCTGTCAGTATCTTAACTTAGTAGATAAGAAGCACAGGGATGGGAGGTTATGCAACTCATCCAGGTCACCCTGAGAATAAGCAGCAGAGCCCAGGTTCAAACCAAGGTTCTCTCTGGTTCCAAAGCCTCTTGGGATGGGAGCAACCTGAAACCCAGCCACTCCCAGAGCTGGTAGAGATTCCTGACTGGCTTCCAGAGAGTTGGGAGATGGGCAGAGCACATGCCTGCCCTGGGTCCCAAGTGCAGAGACCTGGGTTCAAGGTCCATCCCTGCCCTGCTCCCAAGGCTGGGAGATCTGGGACACAGCAAATTCCTCGCACATTTGCCAGTTCCTCATTCTGAAGAAACTTCATAAGTGAGGCTCGAACAGATGGTTTCAAATGTTTCTTTTAGCTGGGAAATTCACAGGTTCCATGATAAGATTTCCTGGATGATTAAGTTTTTTAAGATAGACCCATGTAGCCCTGGCTGATCTCAAATTTGCTATGTAACCAAGGCTGGTTTTGAACCCTTTTGGAAGGATTGAAGACATAATCCATCATACTCAGCCCAGCATACCCAGCTACCCAGCCCTCCCATACTGAGGATTGAGCCTATACCCTCACCATTCTGGAGAGACGTAACATAGCTGAACTACACCAGTCCTTTTGGTGGTCGTAGTAGATGGTGAGGTTGTCTTTGGAAGGGAGGCTGGGAAACGTACACATAACAAAAACCTTGACAACTCTAAAGTCTGGGATGAAACAATAATAGACTCCTTAACTAGCATGTGCAAGGCCTTGGTTTCTATCCACAGCAAAATACACACATACACACATGCATGTGCACACATACTTTTTCCTTTTCCTTTTCTTTTGAGAAAGGGTTTCTCTGTGTAACAGTCCTAGCTGCCCTGCAACTCCAAATGTAGACCAGACTAGCCTTGAACTCACAGACATCCACGTGCCTCTGCCTCCTGAGTGCTGGGATTAAAGATGTACACCACCACCACCCAGCTATACACACACTTTTGGGGGGGTGCTTTTTGTTTGTTTGCTTGTTTTTTCAAGATGGTGTTTCTCTGTGTAACAGCCCTGTCTGTCCTAGAACTCACCTTGTAAATCAGGTTGGCCTCGAACTCAGAGATCTCTCTGCCTCTGCCTCCCAAGTGCTAGGATTAAAGGCATGCACCACCGCTGCCCGGCTTGGAAGGATGAAGCAGAATATCTTGAGTTGGAGGTAGGCTTGAGCTACACAGAAATATCTTGCCTCCAAAAGGAAGAAAGGGAAGGGAGAGGGAGGCAGGGAAGGAGAGAAGGAGAGAAGGAAGGAGCTGACAACTCCATGGTAGCCTCATGTCTTCGAAAGTGTCAAAGGGTCTTCATCCTCAGCCTGGGGCCCTGAGCCCCTCTACATTTCACCCAGGCAATTTCCTGGCGCCTCAGCTGTTCTTGGATTTAGGGATGGGAGGCCTATCAGGCACATGGCATCTGGAGACAGGCATACCCTACCTGGGGAACCAGAGTCAACTTCTTGTAATGCAAGAAAACTTTGGGGTGGGAAGTGAGTGCAGGAGCCCAAAGTTCCCTACCCCAACCCTACTCCAGGCTCAGGGGACAACAGCAACCCATAGGAGTACAGGAAGGAGATGGTGCAGCGGCCTTAACCCTGGGGACCTCCTGAGTCTGCAGCCACCCCCTGCTTCCTCCACCTGAACCCTTGATCCCAGCTCTGCAGCCCCCGCAGCTTCCTGTTTGCCCACTCTGTTTGCCCAGCCTCAGGAACACAGCTGATCCTTGAACTCTAAGTTCCACATAGTCAGGACAAGTAAGCAGAGACAGGGCCAGGGTTGGGCTTATCAGCCCTCCCGCCCAGCCCCTGCCTGCAGACATAAATAGACCAAGGAAGAAGAGCTGGGCACTCAGAGACTATTGGAGAGCTCCAGGGGGGTAAGTGCTGCTACCTGCCCTAGACTACTCTGGCTCACTAGTGCCTCAGCCACTCTGTGGGTTTCTGGGACCTTTTCCCGCTCTAGACCCTTCTCCTCCCACTGGCTTGAAGGTGGGGTGCAAGTATAGGGCTTCTGTGTGGCAGAGCTCCCCTTCAGCTCAGCAACTCTATCTCTTCAGGTCACCCACACCGTTCAGGATGAAAGCTGTGGTCCTGGCCGTGGCTGTGCTCTTCCTGACCGGTAGGTGCCTCCAACCCAGGGAAGCAACAATTGGGGTGCAGTGGGCTTCTGCTTAGGCCTCCATGGCCTACCTTCCTGGGTACAGAGAACAGAATCCTCTCTGGTCTCCTCCCTGACTCCAAGTCTGACATTCAGCTCAGACCCCAGCCCAGAGCTGGCCTGACATGGGTCTCCCCTCCATGCCCAGGGAGCCAGGCTCGGCACTTCTGGCAGCAAGATGACCCCCAGACCCCATGGGACAGAGTGAAGGATTTCGCCACCGTGTATGTGGACGCAGTCAAAGACAGCGGCAGAGAATATGTGTCTCAGTTTGAAACCTCCGCCTTGGGAAAACAGCTGAAGTAAGGAAGAAGCCAGCCTGAGACCTGGAGCAGGGCGAGGGTTGTCCATCCAGGGTGGGCAAAGAGTCCTGTGAGAAGATGATGTAACTGAACTAGGCAAATCTTCACCTGCTATACTACCATTTGAGCACCATGGCAGGGTCCAATGGAGGAATAGGGATGGGACTCACCTGGGTGGTAGGTAACCACAACCCCTCTTTCTGCCTATGAGTGCAAAGGTCCCTTCCCCTGGGTATTCCCCAGTACTGGTTGCCCAGTAAAGAAAGGGAACTGGCCTGGCAACAGGCACCAACCCCATCTGTATCCTTGGTACCTCAGGTCATGTATACAGAGGAATATAGAAGGAGCATAGGGCGTTAGAGGGGTGCGTGTTCTGGCAAACTAGGAACATAGCAACTGCACGTTTGGAGATAAGTGGTACCCAGGACTGCACCCAGACCTGGGGCAGTACAGGATGCCTGGGGCCATCTCTTAGCTGCCCTCTCCTCCTTCAGCCTGAACCTCCTGGAGAACTGGGACACCCTGGGCTCAACCGTTGGTCGCCTGCAGGAGCAGCTAGGCCCAGTGACTCAGGAGTTCTGGGATAACCTGGAAAAGGACACAGATTGGCTGAGGCAGGAGATGAACAAGGACCTGGAGGAGGTGAAGGCGAAGGTGCAGCCCTATCTGGACCAATTCCAGACCAAGTGGCAGGAGGAAGTGGCTCTCTACCGCCAGAAGATGGAGCCTCTGGGCACCGAGCTGCGCGACGGGGCGCGCCAGAAGCTGCAAGAGCTGCAGGAGAAACTGGCCCCTCTGGGCGAGGATCTTCGCGACCGCATGCGCCACCACGTTGACTCTCTGCGCACAAAGCTGACGCCCTACAGCAACCAGATGCGCCAGCGCCTGGCCGAGCGCCTGGCCCAACTCAAGGACAGCCCCACCCTGGCTGAGTACCACACTAAGGCCACGGACCATCTGAAGGCGCTGGGCGAGAAGGCCAAACCGGCTCTGGAGGACCTGCGCCAGGGCCTGATGCCCGTGCTGGAGAGCTTCAAGGCCAGATTAATGAGTATGATCGAGGAAGCCAGCAAGAAGCTGAACTCCCAGTGAGGCATCCATCTCCACACCCTATCCCTGCAATTGCTTTCTTAGAATAAACAATTTTCCAAAATGGGATGGCTTCTTTCTTTGGGGAACGTAGGGAGAGCACTGAAGGGGCATCCAGGGACGATGGGACATGGAGCTGCAGTGGGGAGTCCTTACAGGACTTATCAGCTCTCCAAACTCACTCAAGCTGGACACATGGCTGGTTAAGAGTGTGAGACAGAATCCCTGTCCTAAGAAGGCTCGGAGGGAAACAGATGGCCAGACAAAGTAACAGGGGAGCCCCTTGAAAGTACCCCACAGAGGCACAAACCACTAGTGCTGTAGCCCAGATTGGGAGTGGCTGGCTTTCAGAGGACAAGTTTCCTGTGCAGAAGTGTTTCCAGGTGGGAACCTGGGAAGAGATTGAGAGCATCTTCTACTCCCTAGAGCCAGGATCCCTCAAGAATTCAGAGACTTGAATTATTGTCATCTCCCCACCCCAAACCTGGCCCACTGTGAAAGGCAGCTGTCATAGTGGCTGTAGTCACTCTACCTACCAGTTCGGCAAAAAACACTCGGCAAAAAACACTCTGTGATGCTGATCCCCACATTTATTAAAGAGGCCTTCACATCTATCTCCAAATCACGAATGATGGCCTTTAGGTCTGTGTGAGCCTGGGAAGCTGATGCTAACTTTAGTAAAGGAAAGGTGGGACGGGATGTGTTGTTCTTTAAAAAAACAAAACAAAACAAAACAATTTTTAGCAGTGGTGATGTCATACACCTTTAGTCCCAGCACACGGGAGGCAAATGCACATGAATCTCTGTGAGTTTGAGGTCAGCCTGGTCTACAGAGCCAGGACAGCCAGGGTAACACAGAGAAACCCTGTCTTGAAATGCAAAACAAAACAAAACTTTTATTACATTGGGCTGGTAAGATGGCTCACCAGGTAGAGGCAATTGCTACCAAGCCAGAGGACCTGAATTCAGTACGTGGGAACCCCATCTGCACACACACACACACACACACACACACATAATTTAAATTTTTAGTACATTTATTTTAAATGTGTGTGGATTTTCATGCGCTGCAGAACACATGTGGGCATGTAGAGATCAGAGGATAACTTTCTCCATGTGAGTCCCAAAAACCAAACTCAGGCCACCAGGATTAGTGTAGCAAATGCCTCTACCACCTGAGCCATCTTGCCAGTCCTTATTTATTTACTTATTCATTTATTTTGAGACAGTGTCTCTGATAGCCCAGGCTGGCCTCAAACTCATTTTGCAACCAATGATAACTTCTCATCTTCCTCTTCCTGCCTCCATCTCCCAAGATACCAGGATGCACCACCACACCAAATTTACTCAGTGCTGGGGCTCAGACCCAGTGCTTTGTGCACACCAGGCAAGCATTCTACCAACTGAGCCACATACCAAGCTCCGGATGTTTGGATCAGCTTGCCGTAGGCATACACAATTACTTTAAGTTTTTAAAATGTAGCCAATCATTCATGTTCACACGGGTGAGGGTGTCTGCACACCAACAACCTCTCTCTCACTCAGCTGGCCCTTCTTCATGCTCATTTTAACATGCATGCAGTCTTCACATATCCAGAGAGCCCGTCTCCCTCCTCCCAAGGCTCCTTTTACATTCCCAGTATAGCAATCCAGGCTTGGGTGGGAAGGTTTCTAGATTCGGACACTGGCACCACAGGCTCTGGGTGGTCAGGAGGAGAAGCCTGTGATGGATTTCCTGAGACAACACAGTCTCAGGACTGTTGCACCAATGTTGTCCAGAAAAGAGCCTCCAATACCTGGCAGAGCCTTTCCCCAAGACAATGAAGTAGCAAATGGACAGCTGGCCCTGCAGTGTGCTTGCTTTTGACCCAGGGCAAGTCCTGTCACTCCTCTCAACATTGGTCTTTTCTTCTATCATGTGGAAAACCTGTTTCCTGACCCCGGATCTCTCTGAGGTGAGTGCTTCTGGGTGGTGGGAATGTAGTAAACAACCTTGTTGGCATTCTGAGAGCATTGGGTCTCCATTTCCACCTACAAGGTCAGCCAGTTCAGCTATCACAATGAGAACTGTTCACCAGGTTCCTGGGCTGTGCAGATAGATGCCACATGCTTTTGGACATTGCCATTTCAAGGTCACAGCAAACCTGCTATAGCAGGGCAGACAGTACCCACTTTTTGCTGTGGAAGGGCAGAGCATACCCACTTTCTATATAAGAAATGGAGGCAGCTATAATGCGGTGAGGTCAAGACTTAGCCAGCCTGTCTCCCATCTCGCTTCCTTCCTTTCGGTGTGTTTAAAGGGATCAGGCAGCCTGAACCATGCAAACAAGCAGCATAGGTTTTGTGATCACATCTGACCTCAACACTGAAGATGACATAAAAGTGCTAGCTGGTCAGAATCCACATTCATTGTCCTACATTGCCCATATTTTTCCTACACTTGACAGTTAATCACAGGCTGTAATTGCAAGACTGTTAGCTGATTTGATCTTTCATATAAACTCATCAAGGCAAGCAGGTAAGCAGAGCTAGTCCTATTTACAAAGAAAGAAATGTCCCAGCAGCAACTAAAGAGGTAGAGGAGGTACTGCCCCAGGTCCACTCATTCTCATGCCCAGACATCATGGATCATGGGAGACCCCACACATGGCATCTTCTCATCCAGCTTTATTAGGGGTAGCATGTTTAAGTGACGTCTGGGGAAGGGTGGGAATACTTTCCCTTTCAAGCAACCTTCAGGGGCCAACCACGGGCCGGAGGCCAACAGGATAGATGCACAAGCACATTTGGAACATAGAAGTCTCAATGCTCAGTAGCTGGAGTTGTTGGTAGGTCCTCGGGGGTAGAATCCCAGAGGCTGGAGAACTTGTCAGTAAATGTGCTCCAGTAACCTTTCAGGGAGCTGAGGCCACCGTCCATCCAGCCCCTGGAGGTTAAAGCAGTAAGAGGCATCCACAGAGGTAAGTATGTGTGAAAAGTTCCCCTACCCACACCCAGGACCCTACTAGCTCACCTAGCACTACCCTAGAATCACCTGCAGCTACCTCCCAGGGCCGGTGAGATGACAGAGGAGGTACAGGGGCAACCTAAGAAACCCCACCTTCATCCAGGTTGGGTCTGGGTCAGACAGACCTTCATGGCTGCCCCCCTTTCAAGGCTGAGGCACTGAGCACTGGAGGGTTGATGCTTAGGGTCAGCCTGTCTTTGTAGTCCATACAAATAGTGTCCAGGAGGTGTCCCACTTGGTGGCTCTGCATGTGTGGGGTGGGAGGGGGACAGTCTTTCTTTGGAAAAATTACTGGAGGATTCATGAGTTGCATGACCTAGGCCAGGTCATCTAACTTCTCTGAGCCAGTTTTCTCATCTGCAAAATTGGGGAAATAATATCCTCTCCACACAAAGAACTTTTGTCAACATCTTTTGCTACATAGGTCAATACAAATGTCAGCCAAAGCCATTGGCCAGGGGGCAAGGGTGATGAGCCACAGTGAGCAGATGTCTAACTCAGATTGGGCCTGGGGTGAAGCCCTGAATACAGGCTGTAAGGAGAACAGGTAGCCCCCCCCCAAGCAAGCCTCTCGCCCCATGAATAGAGAAGAAAACTTGCAGCAAGAGCACTATGCACCTCAGGCTACTCTGAGGAGAAGTAGAGGAGGCAGAAGAAGGCTGCTTGCTGTGCTTCTCACCTCAGCCACAGTCAGACAGGCCTAGACCCTGAGTAAGCTTAGGGAGCCGCAGTCCCTGAGTGGGAGGAAAAGAGGACCAGTGGGCATACCTGGCCTGCACAGCCATCTCGGACTCCTGCACACTGGTTAGCGCATCCTGAACCTTCTTGGCAGCGTGCTCCATGTAGCCCTGCACAGAACCCAGCAGCAAGGACCCCTCTACCTCATTAGCTCCTGCAAAAGAGCAGAGTTGAGCCATGTCAGCCCTCAGCTCCTACCCAGCCACCACTTATCAGGGCAGGGCCCCCAGACCAGCTCCCACAGAAACCCCAGGCCCACCTCCCCCCAAACTCACGGGCAGAGGCCAGGAGTGCCAAGAGGGCCACAATGAGGAGCATCCGGGTCTGCATGGCACCAATGCACCTGAAGGAAATTGTCTTGTTGAGGGAATACTGTGGGAGGATCCGCCATATGGAGAATGAATGCCATGGGCTTTTGGATGAATCCCAAGCCTCTCTCCTACTGATATCAGCTCTCAGACAGGGAACTGTACCAGATCCAGGTCCCAAGGCAGGGTGGAAGGTGGAGTGTAGAAACCCTTCACAGAATGGGGCATCTACCCATACTCGGCCCCAGTGTATTAGCTAACATCAGGTTTCTGTTTCTCTCTAGACTCAATGTTTCTGTCTAAAGTAGGCATGCATATCAAAGGCTTCCAATAGCTCTAAGCATGCTGATCAAGAAACAGCATGATCCATTCCAGGCAGCTCTGACACTACCCAGTGTAGAGCTTTTGGCCCAGTGGCCTCCCCTTCTTCAGCTTCTAGCCTTCCCTCATCCACCAGGAACCCAAGGATGGAGGATATTCATGGATCCCAAGGCTTCCATCGGCTAGCTAGCTAGGTGGCAAAGACTTCCTCTGGCTCTCTATCCCCTCCCTCCCTTCCTGTCCTCCCCAGGAGCATTACCTGGAGTAGCTAGCTGCTTCTAGGGATAAACTGAGCAGGCAGGCAGGAGGGCCCTGACCTGTTTTATATGGGCCCCAGGATGGGACATCGGGCACAGAAGTCCCAGTGAGCTGGGCAAAGGTCACCTGCTGAGCAGTTCAGACCAGAGCCTGAGGCAGGGAGCCCGTGCAGCCAGCTGCCAGAAGAATTGAGAAATCCCTCTGAGATTGCCATGCTATTACCTCCAGCTCCACAGCCAAAGGCTGACTCCCCTAGATGAGGCTGGTAAGATAGGGAAAGGCTCAGGGGACAAGGCTCCAGCCTGAGACATGCTTTAGCCCTTCACACTGACCTTCCAGACCCATCTCTTCCGGAAAAAAACCCAGACAATAGCCTGGAGCCAGTGGCAGGCTTCTTCACAGAGGCCCCTTGAATGGAATGGGGAATCTGGTGCAACCATAGATGAGCAGTGGCAGAACTGGGGTGGGAGGTGGCAGAGTGAAGGTCACATGGCCCCCTAGACCTCCACCTCAGGCGTCCACCCACCACTGTGTTCCCAGCAGTCTCTTCTGCTGTGCCTGGGCAGGCGTTGGTGAGAGATGGACAAAGATCAGGCTAAGCTCAAGGCCTTTGCCCCTCCCTCCTCCATGTACTTTGTCTTGCCCTCTGGACCCATTGATAGTATCCTGAGATGGGAACAGGGCTCATGGCTGGATAATATCTTTCCCTAACACAACCAATGGCTTGAATACCTGGGAGCAGCAAGGTATAGAAAGGCTATTCACAAAGAAGGTGAAGGAGGTACTGTGGGGCAGACAGCTTCCCAGGAGGGACCTCAGATTTCTTGAGACTAAGATGTCCCCTGAGCTAATACTTAGAGCCACAGCCTAGACAGGCAGCACTGGAGGACATTGTCTTTTGGATGCAAAGACTTTGGAGCCAAGAAATCCTAGGTTTAAAGGATACCTTTGGGACTGAAGAAATAGGCCATCTGGGCAAAATGCTCATCTTGCAAGCACAAAGACCTTAGTAACTAGGTGTGGTAGTGTCTGTCCACTTGCAATCCCAGCACTGGGGGAAAGGGGATAGGTGGCAGACAGGTAGCCAGCTACTTAGAGCTGATGGCCAGCCAGCTTAGCCTCTTCAGTGAGCCCCAGTTAACAATGAGAAACCCGGACTCATAAAGCAAGGTGAACAGCTCTTGAAGAATGCCTGAGACTGACATTTGGCTTCCACAAGCATGCACATCACATGTGCACATACACCTGCATACACACGCACAGACATATGAGACTCATATGTCTGTGCTCAGAAATGTAGTACCTCTCAGAGCCTCTGTTTACCCTGTTAGTTGGGACAGAATACTGATTTCCCAGTGTGGAGAGACATACAGCAGCTGGCTCGGGGACAAAGGGCTGACTCACACTCTCCCTACCTCCTAAACACGCACAGCCCAGCCAGAGACGGGAAGAGGCGCCCATGCAAAAATGGGGCTTTTCACAGGCAGTATGGCCTGAGGAAGGAGCCTGGCTTTGCTCTCTGAATTCTTAACCCTTATCTTGCCTGAGACTTGAAACTCGTCTATCAGAAATTCATTCTTTTGGCATAAGACTTTTCTCCGGTGGCTGGGATAGTGTTAGCTTCCAAGTCCAGCACTCAGGAGATAGGTAGGGCAATCATGTGTTGGGATCATCCTGGATTACATACTCTGACCCTGTCTCAAAACAAAACAGTTTGTTTTCTGTTAAAACATAAGTTGTCCAAATCCTGTGACTTAGACATTGCTAACTTCATTTTATGGCTAAAAACCAAAGGCCCAGTCAGGTAGAGGCCTTTCCAGTACACACCACCCAGCCTTGGAAAAGCTGCCTCCCAGCACCTAAACTGGTCCTTGGCAGCCATCTGTACCTCAGCTTCCTCTGAGAGAAGCCCTTGGTGACAGCTGGGGGGAGGGGAGCAGAGATACCAGGATGGGGCATTGTGTGTGGTGGCGAGAGCTGCTCTGACCTTCCTCATCTTGTTTCTTGCCCCAAGGCAAAGGACACAATGGGAATCAGGTCCCAACCTGGGGTGTGGTACCTGGTTCTTGGCCCTGAGAATGCTCTGACAGGCTAACTGGGCCCTTTTGCATCGGTAGGGTCTGGGAAGCCTGTCAGTGTCCCTCTACAGAACATGGCCACTGAATCAAGGAACGTCAAAAGATGCTGGCAGGGAGCCCCAGCCATGTGATACTGAGCTGCATGGAGAACTTAGGTGTGTGGACCCCACAGAGCTGGCCTGCAGGATACCTTGGGACCTGGAGCCTGTGACTTATCCCCTTCCAAAGTACTTGTGCCCTCTCAGCCATCTAGCTTGGGCCTCAGGAGGCCTCTTGGTGGCTTTCTGGCCTAGAGTCCTCTGGGGAGAGGACTGTTCTTGACTTACAGACCCAGGCCCAGGGAAGAACCAGCAGTGGGTGGGTATCTTCGTTTCTTTTCCTGTTGCTATGATATAATATCCTGACAAACACATATCGAGGGTTTACCCTGGGGAAGCCTTGGTGGCAGGAATTTGAAGCAGCTGATCACATCACATTTACAATTAAAAGGCAAGAGCCATGAAATACTAGTTCTCAGCTTGGCCCAGCTTGCCATCTCCATTCTGTATAGTTAAGGGTTCTTCACCCAGTGAATCCTCTCCCAGGCGATTCAAGGGTCTGTCAAATTGATAGTTACAATTAGCCATCACAGTGAGGGAGAAGTCTTGAAGGCTTGGGCTGAGGACGGCCCTCAGGAGTGGCTGCCATTCTCCTTCTGATTAGCTAAGTGCAGGTTGGGTGCATGAGAGTCCTGGGACTATGCTCTGATCCTGTATGGGCAGATATAAAGGGTGGCTATAGATGGTGTATAATTGTCAGCCTCACCAGCCATGAGCTCTGGGGTAACACAAGCAAGGAGACAGAGGTTAGGACACCACTTGACCCTCTGTGTCCAGTGTACCTTAACTGTCAAAGCTGGCTATAAAGACAGTCTCTTCTTTTCACCAACAGCTGAGACACGGGGGTCTCACTCTGCCCCCGCTCCCTATGCAGATTCCTTGCAGATGAGTATGACGTATACCCCATGCTTGGAGAACTCAATATGCTCATTTATGCCCCTCCAGGAGGCAGTACACCCTCCGTGCTGGGGCCAGAGCATACATGAGTGCTGGGCACACATGTCTGCCTTCTGTCCCAGTCTCTTAGCTCAGAGCCAAGTTCTGTGTCCATGGACAACTTGGATATCTATGCATATCTGTCAATCAATCACTGACAGCCACTCTTGAACTAGGTAACAACGGTCTTCTCAGAGAGGGTACAAACGGGCAGCTACCTCTGGACCTGTCCCACGCTGGTGGCACCTGGTACTCAGACTGCAGGTCCAGGAGGTGGAGCTGCAGCCGAGGTAACCCATGTGACTCATCCCACCCTCAGTTCTGACCTTTGGGCCCAGCACAGGCTGGACCAGGTCTGATTTGGCAGAACAAGATGGGGACCAATGAGTCAATGGTACAGAGAGGCAAAACATGGCTAATATTCAATGAGCGCCTACTGTACACTAGATTACCTCACAGGATTGTCACAACGGAGACTCTGAGAGGTCATGAGACTCATCTAAGGCCACACATAATGAGTAGAATTCAGACACAAACCCAGAGAGTCAGACTCCAGAGCCTGAACTCAGAAAACACTGAGAAACCAACAAGATGACTCAGTGGGTAAAGTCATGAAGCCTGATGACATCAATTCAATTCCCTGGAACCCACATGGTAGGAGGAGGGAATAGGCTTCCTCAAGTCGTCCTCTGGCCTCCACATGGGTTTTCATGAATGTATACCACCTAACCAAATATTAGTAAATAAATAAGTTAATTTTTTAAAAGCTTCACTAGTGGCTACTTGAGAACACCCATGTGAGGAGCATTGCAGTATAGAGGAGACCCACCAGGGAAGGACAGGTATTCAATCCCATGAGACAAGCCAATCTGTACACATTTAAAAAGTGGATGGTGAACAGACAGTAACGGTACACGTCTTTATTCCCAGCACTTGGGAGGCAGAGGCAGGCATATCTCTGTGAGTTCGAGGTCAGCCTGTACTACAAAATGAGTGTTCCAGGACAGCCAGGACCATATAAAACAAAAACAATAACAATATCTCTGTCTTGAAAGATAAAACAAGAACATAACATGGTCTCTGCCTATACAGTGTTGAATTCACAGCGAAAACCTGTTTCAAAAAACAAAAATAAAAATGGATGGCAACACAGCAAATCAGACTTGGCACAACTGTGGTCTGTTCTGATGTCTCTCATTTCACAAGTATCTTGTGGATGGCAGCCAATGGGACAGTACGATGGGCGTCATCATGTAGTCCCTGGTGTAGTCCACAGAGGCCCCCACACTGGCCACAGTCTGGCACCTTTTCTCTGGATGTCTTCTCCAATTGTATGTGTGGACACATTTGGAGTCCCGGTAGGAGATCAAAAACTCACTTCCCACAGCAGTGCCTATCGCCTCCTGCCGGACAGAGGGTAGCCATTCTGCATGGCTCTTGGCTGTGTTTGGGGACACAGTAGGGTAGCAATCAAGCCCATCCAGTCTCACTCTCTCAGTGGTTGACCCTCTGAGGGAAAGGGCGACCTTCCTCTGCCATTCTCTAGAGAGGATCAAGTTCTCACCTTCCTTCCTAGCTTTGATCCACGCGTAAAGTCCTGGTTACTATTTCAGCACTTACTCTGGGCTAAGTGCCCTGTCCATTTCACACGTACTATATAATTTAATGTAACAAATTATACAAGGGAGAAACTGAGCCTTGGGAGGTCAGATAACTAGACCGGGGCAACTCAGCTTGACAGTCAAGAGACATAAAGCACACTTTTGATTAACCTCTTCAATCCTGGGTTCTGATCCTTCCCTGCCCAAGGGTTGTCACAGACAACTAAGTTGCAGCTCACTGCTTGATGCAGTCCTGAATGGACCTGGTGCCATGTCTGTAGCTGACATTCTGAGACAGAGTTTGGGTTGGTGACAGCTGTCAGAGATGGGACTGTCTCGCTGAGGTAGAAAGAGGAGACCTGGAGCTTGCTCCCCCAGCCTGGCACAGATCCGGGGCTGCCAACAGGGCTCCTGGTACTTTAGTCCTTCTCAGGGAT